TATCGTAACAAATCGTTAAGCGTATTACACACAATCTCCTCAAGGGCATTGCGATTTAATGAACTGGCAGACGCGAATACACAACTTGAAACATTCCGTTTTGTTACGCACTGTGATAACTATTATTGAATTTCTCGTTTCGTTTGTTTGAATATGGTTTTTGTTCCTGGAGTCGCTTTTGGTACCGTACTGGGTGGGAACACGTTACGGGTATTCATTTAATAATAATAATAAATATTTCCAACACTCACACCAATTAGCCTAGCCCCAAAGTAAGCACTGTAGGCTTGTGTTATGGGATACTAGGGTAACGGATAGAATACATATACTGTACATATGTATATAAGTATATTTATATAGAAATACACAGTAAACATCCATGACTGAAGTACAAATGCTCGTATTCATCACACAAACATGTGCCCCCACCGGGATTCGAACCCAGGACCTCTCGAGTCGGCGACACCATGAAACCCGGCGTACAAACCACTCGGCCACGGAGGTCGTCAATCAATTTGTTGTAAACTTTTTTCTTAGTTATCTAAATTTCGCTATCGAACCGGATAACGGATTATGAGTTCGAATCACGCTAATCAACTACGAACTACCTATCTGTCTACTTAAACAGTAGACTTTGATTGGCGGATTTTTCGCTCGAATTGGAGCGTCCATTATGGCAAGTAAATTACTAAGTGAGTGTTTTACTGAACTTTGTATTTGATATGATACATACGAGTTACGCACATTATCAGTACATTTAACAATAAAATTAAATGTACAAAACCAAGTAAAACTAGTTTAACAATGGGCGACCTTACCGCTAAGAACGATCTCTTCCAGCCAACCTTTGGATGGAGACGACTAGAAGGAAGTTGGAGAGACGACGGCGTAAATCACTTGAGTGATTTTACCAAGTCCACTAATCAACGAGGCACAAACGTTTGTAGTAACTCAAGCACGTTTCAATTCCCATATAACATTCTCGTGCGTCATTTATTTTTGTGCGCGGCGTTAAGTACCAGCAGTTAAACTGTCCGTTCATGCTTTATGGACAAGGGTGTTTGTGTACTGGGCTTTGATCGGAGGAAGATGCTAGCTTCCTTCCTTATGATCTCGATAAAACTTTGGACCGTATAACAATAATAAAGGATATCTAAATGGTTATGAAGAAAACATTAAGACTCCAGAACGGGACGTTCGTCTTATAGTGATTAGGTAGAGCGTTTAAAAAAATCGTTCAGCTATCCTGCCTTCGACTTGAAAGATCCTGTATTTGTATTCCTTTATATTGTAAAACGCACTGCGAACTGGATCACAAAAAAATGTTTGTCGTATGTCAACATGCGTGTTCTACTCCTGACTTTGCGTCATCGTCACCCACTCTATTGTTTAATGTTTAACTTACAGGCATTTGCCCATAAAGTATAACATGTTTGATGTCCATAGGAAGTGCCTTATTCGTTTCGACCTCAAAGAGATCTTTGTTATAGTGTTAATGCCCACGTGTTATTCTTCTTAACACATAAAACTAACATCACCCTTACACTGTTGAAGGAATAGGTGACCTCATTGCGGCCTTTTAACGATACGTAACAAAATGTTTGACCAGATGCATATTATATTAAACTAGTGGCCCGCCCTCGCTTTGCTTCGGGGTAGAGCTGTAGTGTAGAATATAGTTTTTCGTCAAAGGCTTGTATTATACACAATGAATTTCTTCATAATATTTATAAACTATCCATTCCAAGTAAAAAATTCGTTGCGTAGTTTAGGACCCGTTGTACCGAATGCAACATTGCTCTGCTGTTCCGATTTGACAGCCTATGTTCATATTTTAAATTTAACTCACTATAAACCTTTTTCTTCAAATTAACACGGGTGAAACCACAGGGGACCTCTAGTTGTTACATAACTGTAAATGTAAAGTTAGACATATGGTATTTTGGACTTTTTTGTAGATATTGGTATCCTCCAAAAAACTTAGTACATCACTTTGCTCTATTGTCAATGACTTCCGCAGCGTACGCGATATAAGGCTATTTTTTATACACATAGGGTGACATTATCGATGTTTTCATACGGAACCCTAACTTTTTTGAAAATACACTATAACCTATATTAATCAGTGATAACGTAGCATTCAAATGGTAATAAAATTTTTAAAATCGGTCCAGTACTTTTTGAGCCAATTCGTTATAAACATACTTACATAAAAATCTTTCCTCTTTATAATATTAGTATAGATGAAGACTTTGATTTGGTGATACATCAAATAAAATGTAAGGGTTTGTCTTTATAGATCTTGTAAAGATGTCTATTCGTCTATTTCTTCTATAATCACTGGTCTTGGAGATAATGGTGTTTGAATTCTTCCTGGATCTCTTTTAACACGATGTTAAGCTACTTACCCCGAGTTTACTAATCTCAGTTAAGTTATTTTTCTCAAATTTTATTTCAAAGTTAAGGGTATATACAGCGCTAATTTCATAGTATAGTCATAGTGAAATACTAGAACACTCAATGCGTTTAAAGTTATTGCTTCATTGTTGATTGCATTTAATTAGGTGCTGAAACATCGACGTAGTTATGTGTAAGAGCTCATATGAAACTGATACAGTGTGTTGTTGGTTTGAATAACATGCATTTTTGAAGTTGAAATTAGCTTATCGTTAACAAATTTAGTTTTTAAATTAAACCCAGTATCTGCTTTTTTGGACTTGTTTAAAAGAATACCTTTTTTTCTCCTTACAAGAAGTAAAAAAGTTTTCTCAAAACATTTTTGATCTTCTGAGCTGATTACCTCCTAATTAGGGTTATCATTTAGGAATTTCAAAAGCCCTGACTAAAATCCTGACATTTAAAAAAAATATCCGGCCTTTTTAGTCTCAAAATGGTACCATTACTCACTAAGTTACAATGGTATGGTATTTAAATCAGTATGTACTTTTCTTATTCATATTCAATGTAATTAAAAAAAAACCGGATAATTTAAAGATCCGGACTATTGTCTAGATGTCCGGACTAATCCGGACGGATGGTAACCCTACTCCTAATCTACATTTTTACGATTGTGTGATATCCACGTACTTGGATCTATAACCTGTGCTAAAATCCCGTTACGATGATGTAACTTACATCACTTAACAGCAAACATTAGCGTCTGCGCGCATCTGTGCAAACGTTTACTTTGTACTTAGGTGTCAATGGGGTGTGTGTGTGTTTGCAATTATATGTATTGTTAAATAAATAACACAATGTTAATTTTAAACGCACTCTGTAAATAATGATTATTAATTTGATAGAAATGGCTAAAATTATTCATTTGTTTGAAAGTTAACGTAGTCGCATGTGTTTATTTATATACGAGTAAAGCTAGAATAATGTTATTTATACTTAATTAACATATTCTTTTTAATATGTTTTGGACATGTTATGTTAATGTTTATTTAGTTTTAGTATCATATCACATTAAATTTTGTAGCGATATGGTTTCATCATGTCAGTTGTCGCACGCAAGTCAAGCATTTTGCCACCTAACTCCTAATGTTTGGGACTATCAAGTTCCGTTATTGGGGGCACGCAGTATTTTGATTAAAATCTTAATGACTACTTTAATTTACCACTTATCTAAAGCGAGTAAGACGGTCTACTTTGCTACGTTTGTAATTTGTATAATAACCGCATCACGCAAAGAGAATTCATAGTGTTCAAGTCAGCAGACTTCTTTTTTGACATCGTCTTTATTGCGTAGCACTACGAGTGATATTCCTCGCTACGAACTGTTGTTGTATCCATTGTCGTGGTCTCGTGCTGTATTTATCTAACCTATATACGACAACATACCAGTATGTGTAAAAAAATCTCAATCGACTATGAATCTTATATCAAATAATTGAAAGGTAAAAGTCACTTGGATACATTCTATAGTCATCGTCTCCCTTTCGTCGACGCCGGAAACGGCAAGCTCGATCCGTTAACGGATCGTATGTAGACGTAGATTACGATCGTTAAATCGGTTATTAACGGACGCAGTCATTTATTATACGGTTTTACCTTTTTTTTCTTAAAGAAAGAGCGCTTTTGTTTAACTACGTTAATTAAAATATCCTTTAGATATACTGAAATACAATAAGGGCGCTTTCAATTTCGGCACCGCAGTAGGCCGTCAAGAAACGCATAAATTGAAAGCGCCCTTACGATGAAAGACAAGTGATAACATGAAGAGAGAAAGAGACAAAGCTAAGATTTCCATAGAAAACATTTACTCCAGTTTTCGTCGTTGTTAAATTAATATATCTCTCTTCGATGCATTATAATATTTGATCGAAGCATATTGCTTTTTAGTAGTAATAAAATCGTACAACAAGACTGCGTATTAGTTGGCGGTTGGCGCCGACTTGATTTAATTGTATGTCTGACAGTGTGAGCGGCTACTATTATTGTAAATACTATGATGTAACATTCGTATCTTTCCTCTTAATAAAAATATACTTTGTACAAATATCTAATTTTCTTGAAAGTTCCCAGTTTCATGTATATGTAGTTAACATTACATAGGTAATTGTTTCATGGTAACATAAGAATTTTCCTGGAGATTCTAAAAATGGATTATTGAAATAATGTTTTTTTGCTGTTTATCCTCATAAGTATCATTTTATTAATTGCACTCCTAGATTTTATCGCATTTAACTTGAAAATCGTTATTTTTTAATTTACTTCCTAATCCCCTAAGTTAATACAAAAATCTAGATTTTTTAACGTCAGGAAAATACGTGACGCATACCCCATCGCCTTGGGAGGACGGTGAGGTTAAGTGGGACTCCTGCCCCGGCTCTCGCCCGCCTGCTTAGCCAATCCAAGCACCGGTCCAGCAGCCGTTCGAGAAGAGGGAGCCCTACCCACTAATAACCTGACGATGCCTCTCACCTCACCGTCACCTCGTCTATTAACGCCATTGCATCTTCTGATGTGATCCAATAACCGTAACTGTATTGTTCTAGGACGAAGAGTCCCTGGACTCGGTGAGGCCTGTGGCCAACATCACCCACCACAGCATCATGTACGCGCCCAAATGTCTCGTCATCGTCTCCCGCCAGGACTACATCGACACTTTCAAGGTGAGTGCATGTGTACAACCGTTGATGATCTCAGGCACTGATAATAAAAACCATACACCACGTACGCTGAAAATGTGTCCCAATTAAGAAGTGCTTGAACACCACTCAAGCACTTCTTGGTTCGCAGTCACGCGCAGACCTTTGAAAAGTCAATATGCCGCAGAGCTCCGTTAAAATATGTGAAAATAATACTTATAGTATGTAGTGTCGTTTTTTCGACAGGTATCTAATCAATGGTGTCGATTCTGGCATGATTGTCTAAACATAAAACTAAATTTAAAACCACCTAACGACAGAGGATTTAAATTTGACAACAGTGTAACCTTACTGATGACTGATGTTAAATTATTTTAAGTTTAGATAATAATCCCAGAAGCGACACCAATGTTTGTTAATTTAACGCATTTGAAGAAAAATTTGTTCTAATACTTACTATAAACTGATTTAATAGAAAATATTTGTAATAATGAAATGCTTGCTCGGTTATGACGGCTACCTCCTCATTTCCTCGCGCTCCATAACTGTTTTTATGATTGCGGTTTTCAATAACGTTGTCTAAGGGATATGGACTTAAATATTAAGGGGGTATTAAACTGTACGTCGGGAAAAACAGTGGTTGAATCTCTACTGTGCCTTTCATCAACTAAATCAAAAATCGCTCTTTGTCTAAATAAACACTCAACAATCGCTCATCGACGAAATTCGCCTGGCCCTACGACTTGATTATTAACTTTAACTCTTTTCGCGATACTCTTCATAAATTCGGCGTAATTTTAAATTAAAAAAGCGGGACATTCCCTGCGCTATACAAATACTGCAATTCAAGATCTAGTTAATATACATAAATCCTGACGTGGCTCAGATCGGTCTCAGAGCAGAACAGAGAAGATTACAAAAGTATAAACAAACCTAAAATTATTGTCTAGGATGGAAGTACTATGTCCCAGATAACTTCTTCTCGCTACCTCGGTGGTTAAAGGATGCGTAACGCATTTCCCACACATTAAAAAAAAATACTTAACGATGTGATAGCTTTAGAAGGTTTCTCAATATGAGTAGTAATAATTACTGTGTATTCATTAACAGATGAACAAAAAAGTATACATTTTGGGAACCGGCAAAAATGTTGAATTTCAATTGATTTTGACAAAAATAAGGATCGAAGACTTACAATATACTTTTCCCATTGGCCTAAGAGGAACGTGCCGATAAGATAAAAGCACTAATAGCCCTTAGTAAAAGTATCTGTGCGCTACAGTAGTATTGAAGTCCTTTGAAAGACAGAAATACTGTGGTAAACCCTGACGATGCAGTAGGTAAATCATTCAGTAGAGTTCTTAATTACTGAATATAACGCAACTGGTATTCCATATTACAAAAAAAATCCAATAAATGCACTCTTCCATACACTCAATTCAATTCCATACACTCAATTCAATTCCATACACTCAAACCACTCTTCAAACATTTGTTGCTGCGTATGTCTTGCAGAGTCCTATTCAAAGATTCTTAACCTTTTTTATAGGTCATAATACTTTCATCCCAGACAATTATTTTAGTTTTTCTTGATACTTCTGCAAATTTGCTCTGTTTTACCAAATACGTACCAAATTTGGAAGCTCTAGACCTAGCGGTTTGAGCTGTGGTTGATATGTAAGTTAGTCAGTTTCTTCTTTTATATATTTAGATGATGATGACTTTTATAAACCTGAGCCGTGCTTGATTATATGATTTATTAATTCAATAATACTCGCGTAGACTTAAGTGTCTCAGGATCAGTAACGATCTTTTGTATAATGGTTAAGTAAGCTATAGAATATCGGACATGATCATAAATGTTCTTAATTCCAAGGCCGACGGTGTTGAAGTTGCACGTATAATTATATGACCCATCCACGCGTGCCCAGCGAAGCGTCGTTTATCGGTAGGACTACCTACACTGGGTTGAACATTGCCTCCACGAAAATAACTAAATTTGGCACAGTAACTTTATAAAATCACACCATTCATTCCATATAAATATGAAAGATACAAGCTCTTTTATAAGTATTAAAACAAACTTTTTTTTGTACCTATGTTTATGTTATGTTGGGATAAATATAGTTGCTAAATAACTTTATATTAAAAAAACACATGCTTAATTATTTAAATGGTGATCGAACGCAAGCGTTAGTTTATTCTTCTTACAAACCTTTTTATTTGATACCCATATGTACTCCTATGCCCAAGAGTGCGTGCACCAAAAATTACAAATCTGCCATTGTAGGCCGTCCGCCTTAGATTTACTCTTCACAACAATATATAATATCTTGGATCTAGTTCGCTCAGCCATATTATAATTATATATATATACCCAACATAAATAAGACTATTTATATTACTGACACAACAATCAAAATGCAGGTGAACAATTAATGTATATTTCACATTATGTAATGAAAGGTGACTTCATTATTCATCTCTGAAGTCATTTTTCAACTTGACAACCCTGTTAATAATAATACAGGGAGAAAAAACTAGACTTTTCTTGCTGGTTCTTCTCAGTACAAGATCTCCCGCTGTAGATTAACGAACCGATGGCATAGTTTCTGGACATTGATTAGTGCTTGTAACAGCCTAAACTGAATAAATGATTTTGATTATGATTACTATGAAGTAATTTCTGGAGCGGCGGACTAATATTACCAAATTATTTACACAAATAAAAACTTTGTTTACCAAATATTTTAAACAAATAAAAACATTTTCCTTTATAGAACTGCCTGGGCATAATCTACACCGTATGGGTGGAGAACCTGGGCGTACCCCTGGAGACCCTGGTGGGCAATCTTCTCGGGTGCGTCCAGGTGCCGGGCGCCGGCGGGCCGCAGGTGCGCTTCAGCATCGGCGCGGGCGACCGCCAGGCGCTGCAGCCCCCGGCGGCGCCGCCGTTACCTGTCACACACACCTCTGTGCACATGCTTTTGAGACTACTAGGTGAGTTATCCGCTTGTCCTGTATCTACATTGAGTTGGTGAATAACCTGGGCATACCACTGGAGATCTCAGATTTCAGCATCACCGCGGGCGACTGCCAGTTACATACACTTCTGTGCACATGCTGTTGAGACTGCAAGGTGAGTCATCCACTTGTCCTGTTATATACATTGGGTTAGTGGAGAACCTAGGCGAACCACTGGAGACGCGATATGTTTCAGCATTGGCGCGGACGACCGCCAGGCGCTGCAGTCCCCGGTGGCGCAGAATCGGCCTGTCACACATACTTCTGTTCATATGCTGTTGAGAATCTGCACCTTGTCCAGCAATGCTACACTGTTTAGAGTTTTATTCAGCGATATGCCCACCAGCGCGGGTAACTGCTAGGCGCTGTAGCCCCCGGCGACGCCGCCGTTACCCGTCACACACACTTATGTACACATGCTGTTGAGGTTGCTAGTGAGTAACTCCACCTTATCCACCTTTAATTTCAGCTGGCATAGTTTTGGAGGGCATATAGGATTCCAGCAATATCTCTGAGTGACAATTACACCCTAGCACCAACAGAGCTATCAATCCATTTTATCATCTATTTCTATTATTTTAACCGATACTGATTTGCCATGATATTTTGGCTGACACTGGATGCATCTGGAATTCCTGCAATATCTCCGACGAACTACTACACCCCTCACTTCAATAACAGCAAGCACCAATAATTTCCTTAATTACTCCTCATGTATTTGTAACTCGATTAACTTCGAGTTCACCATCGTCTTATTCTACTTGTTCTTTAGGCATTCACAACTGAGACGTTATGGTGCACGGTGACGAGCGAGCACAAAGTCTTGCTAGTCTTGCCAGCAGCTGCCAGACTCGCGGCCGCTTGCAGAGCGCTCGCGGCGCTAATATTCGCGTTCCAAGAAGAAGCGATAACTATTTGTGCTCGATCTCGATAATTTGGCAGGATTTCCTCCTTTTACCAATATTAAGTTCAAAAGTTCACCAGCATTTTTTTCTACTTATTCCGTAGGCATTCACAACTCGGTGACCCTATGGTGTGCGGTGATGAGCGAGCACAAAGTTTTGCTAGTCTCACTAGCAGCTGCCAGACTAGCGGCCGCTTGCAGAGCGCTCGCGGCGCTAATGTTCCCGTTTCGATACGCGCACGTTTATATACCACTGCTGCCCGCGGGCTTGGCTGAGGTGCTGGCCACGCCCACGCCGTTCCTGATCGGCGTACACTCCAGTTTGAAGGAGGAGGTGTCTGAGTTGGTAAGTGTGCGATCCTACTATTCTATCCTACAATAAACAAACATACTTTCACCATTAGAATGCTATATGGTCCAGGAGTAACATAGTCTGTATTTTATCACGTTAAAATAAGGTTCCTACGCGAAAGACCGGGACGCATCGCTGGTATCCCACTTATCCTGCTTATATGTATTACATAAATGTGGAAGTCTATTTGTACTTATAATTTTTATTATTTTTAAAGCATGTAACTGCTTGATGTTTAAATCTAAAGAAAATATAACTAGAAAAAATTTCACGCGGACCAGGCAGCAGACGGGACTCGAACCCGCACCCTTCGCAATCCGGGCGAATGCACTGACCAATTATGCTACCGCGGCCCTCACGGACCGCGTCGAAATTCTTTCTAGCTATTCTTAAGCTGCAAGGCAGCGCCATCTCTTCGCATTATAGGTAAACCCACAGTTTTCACCACCCTCACTATTTGTACTGTTTTTTACTATATCACGCAAAAATAGCTCAACAAATTTACATGAAAATCGAGCTGGAGTGACACAAAGGATATTTTATAACCCGGTAAATTCTTTAAAAATTGACTCGGACGGTGGTCCTTACTGTTGCTACGTCACAAATTGTATCGATTATAAGCATGGACATAGAGAACATATTGACTAATTCCTGCATAAAATTTACTGCCCTTTTTTTCTATCAAAATATGCCACTCGGTGCAGGTTTTTAATTCGAACACTGATGCATTAACCGCTATGCTATCGAGACCTTGATGGCGTTACTTATCTGGCGTGTTCTGTCGTGGCGCGTCAGAGAGCAATTGGTTTCATACATTTTGTATACCCCGCTGACTCGTCAGGAGGCATGATACAACACAACAGATAACTATATTTCTGTCTTTAGACTGCAAGCCTTAGAATAATATTTTTATATTTATTTATTATTAAAATTATTAATATTTTTAAACTTTCTCTCAGCTGGACGTAATAGTAGCAGACCTCGACGTAGGCTCTCTCCACATCCCAGTCGGTGTGAACATCCCGCAGCCGTCTGGCACTTTACTATCCGCGCTGCAAAACTCGCTAGCGTTAGTGCTGCAGGGGGAGCTGCGCAGCGCCGACTCGGCCTTCGCCTCCCCACCACCCGCGCCCTCCCCTCCACACATGCTGGACAAGGAGCTGCGCGCCATCTTCATGCGGACGCTGGCCAGATTACTGCAGGGATACAGGTATGAACCCTGGCTATATGACTGCAAGTATACAGGTATTCCATGCTGGATCAGAAGATCAGAATTCACGAAAATGCTCCGGCGAGACTACTACTAGGATAGGACTACTAGGCGGCCATACCTCTATAGGTATGGCCGCCCCATATGCTTGACAAGTAGCTCAAGGCTGTGTTCATAGAGATGCTGGTGAATTTACTGCAAGTATATAGGTATGGATGCTGGTTAGATTACTGCAAGAATAGAAGTATGAATGCTGGCTAGATTACTGCAGGGATGCAGGTATAAAGATACTGCTGCAGGACTGTCTAACGTTAGTGCTGCAGGGGGAGCTGCGCAGCGCGGAGTCTGCTTTTCCCCCGCAAAGATGCAGACATGGCCGCCACACATACTGGACAAGGAGCTGGGCACCGTCTTCATGCGGACGCTGGCCAGGCTACTGCAGGGATACAAGTATGAACTCTGGCTAAATTATTACAAGCATTCAGGACCAGCAGATCAAGACGTTAGCGAAATAACTGCAAGGATAGGGGTATGACCGCCCTACATGCTAGGCAAGTAGATCAAGGCTGTGATGCTGACGAGATTGCTTCAATGAGACATATATGTATCGACGTTGGCTAGTTTACTGCAAGGATAAAAAGAATGAATACTGGCTGGATTACTGCAAAAATTACGACTCCATCTTGACATTTTCAAAGTGATGTCAGTGTCTCATTACAAAATTCCCCCAAAAAAGTAAGTATGGCGTAATCAAAAGTAAGTATAGAGTTGCAAAAATCAAGAAAAAGCTTCGGATAAAAGACTACATAATTTAATTTTGAAGTGTAATTTTTCCTTCAGTCTTTTACATCAGTCTTTAACAAAACGTCTGTTGATTGTGATGGGAGTGATCTCTTTTAGAGATAAGCGGGCTCCTCCTACTCACTTTTTTTCTGTCGTATAGGTAATGGTTTCGATTCTGGCATGATTCTCTAAACTTAAAACTAAATTTAACATCAGTATCTTGTTTTCATTCTGTATAGCGAATGATAGTGTGTGATACACTGTTGACAAATTTAATTTTAGACTTAGAGATTCATGCCAGAATCGACAGCATTAGCTTACTATTTTGCGTGTGCTATTAAGTGTTTATATTATAACTAGCGGCCGCCCGCGACTTCGTCCGCGTTAACTTTAGTTTTTTTAATCTCGAGAACCTGGATCGGTGAAATTATAAAAGATACCTATCAATCAAAAGTATGATATAAGCACTGGAAATCAATTTCTAAATTAAAGTAGGCTAAGTTACTCCTTATTACATCAGCTACCTGCCAACAAAAGTTCCTTCAAAATCGGTCCAGCCATTTCAGAGATTAGCTAGAACAAACAGACAGACAGACAAAAATTGTAAAAAATGTTATTTTGGTGTATGTACCGTATATATATTCATATGCATGTAGTAAAAAGCGGTTATTTCAATATTACAAATAGACACTCCAATTTTATTTGTATGTATAGATGTATAGATTTATTTATATGTATAGATGTATAGATTTTCATACTAATTGTAATATTTCTCGTTTATTTCCATAGGCATTGCCTGACCATAATCCGCATACATCCATCGCCAGTACTTACGTTCCACAAGCTCGGATTCCTGGGACGACGCGGCTTATCGACGTGTCCATTCGCCGTACGACTTCTGGACTCGATGTTCTTTAACGGATTGGTAGCAGAAAGGGGACCGCCTTGGAGAGCCACAGATGTCTGGGATGATCTACTGCAGTAAGTATAATTTTCCTTTTGGGCATAGAGTTAGGGTTCAATATCGATTGATGTTAATTATACCGCTGAGACTATAGATAAACAAACCATAAAAAGGTTTTGTAACAGGTCGAATTTTAAACAGATGTAAAATCATAGTTTAAAAAAAGTAACATTAAAAGGACCTAATATTGTAGCTGTTCCCAAACTTTGAGTGTATTATAACACTACTAAATTGAATAGTAATGATAAAGCATATAATTTACGTTGAAATGTGTTGTAATCAGTCTGATATAGTGGCCATCTTTACTGTCAATAAGAAGAATTAGAAACATAGGTTTGTTGAAGTGAAAACTTCTTTAACACCGTTGTGATTTGAGATTCGATGAAACGGAAGTAGAGTATTTGACACAAGATAGGTATCCGTAATTTTTGTCATTTACTATAAGAGACGAAGACGAGAATGACGGAAACGGTAAAGTTATTGGGGTCGAAACCGACTGATCGGCGGTTCGATCCTAAGCTCGGTTTTTTTTTATTCATATTGAATATAGAATAATTATAAATCCCCAGTATTTTACAATGCTTGAATTATATATTAAAGTAAGTTGTTTATTAATACAGGCTTGGTTTTTTTATCAACAAACCTTACCTTTTCCAATGTTTGCAATTTTTTTATTGTGATTTTTCATCACTACATATATCGAAAAAAACTTAAGATAAGAAAAACATACAAAAAAGTTCACATTTCTGTAGGTTTTTAATTGTAACGCATTAAAACTATGATCCTTTCACATCACTGACACGTGAAAATCTTGAGGAACATGTGGATGTATCACACTTTAACATTAAATAATGAGAAAAGAGTGTTTTCTACAAAATTGGGGTCATTTCGGTTGAAAAGTTCACGACGTCACTATTTTTCGCGGAACGCGTACTTAAAACTGATGTAAAAAAATGTAAACTTCAGTGAGCACTGCATTTTTATTCACAACGCCATCTACATATTTTGCCTAAACTAAAGAGACCACAGCAGCGATAAGGATGCTTTGTAAAGCGTGCTAATGAGCAAAAAAACAAGACCGCCCATAGACGACACTGAAGCTAAGTGTCCTCGGACGTTTGACTGGAAAAAATGACACTCATGTGTTATGGGACGTTTGGGAGGATTCAAAGCTTGAGAAATGGCATCGCAACAGCCGTGGTTTTTTGTATAATACATACATTTGTAGAGATTTTTTTATCAGTTTTATATCTATCGCAAAAACAAGGCAGTGTTTTTGTATTCAATCAACCCCGCAATCTCGCGGGGTACCAGGTTCGATCTACGGTCGGGTCAACATATAAAATTAACTTTTTTTTTCGGGTCTAGCTGATTATTTTATCTTAGTTAATACAAAAGCTTCAAGGACTTCAGTCATGAAGGACTTTTACTTTTAAACATTTTTGTAGGTCTCATTTCTATCGCATTTGAATAGCACATGTCCGTTTTTTTGTTTACCTTTGTCTTCGAGGAAACTGAATGTAGTAAAGAAGAAGAAGTATTGCTGAATGCGCTGATTTGAATCAAGCCTGACAACAGGACAGAGTGTATATTGTTTCTAGTAAAAACAAACATGACATTAATAAATTCATCAGGTTATTGCTAAAAACAATAAAATCTCAAAATGTATTGTCGTAGAAACCTTCCAGAACAGCTTCGACTCGAGGGACTGAACCCGGAGTTGGAGCTGCAGCACATCCAGGAGCTCGCCATGCAGCTGCACCTCAACGAGAACCCAAATCCGCAGGTATCATCACCATAAATCAGCCATATATTATTACTAGCAGTGACGTGCCCTGCAGCCCGCAGTAACATTAGCTATTAAATATCGATAAAATGGTGACAAACAAACGTATGGCCCGCCGATGGTAAACGGTCATCGTAGCCTATAGACGCTTGCGTAACCAGGGTTATCATTTAGGAATTACAGAAATTCTGACAAAATCCTGACATTTCGAAAAAAGTCCGGATTTTTTTGTTCCAAAATGGTACCATTACTCACTTAGTTGCAATGGTAGGTATGGTCTTTAAATCAATATGTACTTTTATTATTCATATTCAAAATAATTTAAAAAATCCCGACAGTTTTATAAGATCCGGACTTTGTCCGGATAAAAGTAATAACATAACATAGTCAAAAAGTCCGGTCATGTCCGGACTTATCCGGACGGATGGTAACCCTATGCGTAACCAAAATATCACTCACGGCGTTGCCTACCCTGACCCAATCGCTTACCCCGTGGAGCCCTGGAACCTTTCTCATCGACAGAAACACAACACCACAAAAGTTTAGCGTTATTTTACTTTGAGTTTTTTGGGAATACCCCAGGAACCTTACGTTTTTCCGGGATAGAAGGTATCCTATGTCTCAATCCAGGTCATCAACTATACATTATGTGCACCCATCAAATCCATTTAGTAGTTTACCGTGATTAAATAACGAATATACAACTTAATGTATGTTTGTGATTTCATTTCTAATGTAAGCGTTTCAGTAAAATATTTATCAATTCGTTGCTATTTATACTGTTTTTAAAAGTGGAAAGAATAGCAACATACGAGTTTTTAATGTAGATTTAAAAAACAAGGAAAAAAATTAAGCATTCACATTAGTTTTCCAAAAAGTAATTAAGGTGGGAATGAATATGAATATATATGTCTCCTCATATCTCTTGTGCGTGAATTGATCAGCATAGATATGATATTTACACTTCTTATTAATGAGATAGTTTTACTTAATATTCGGCGACGACCTCCGTGGTCTAGTGGTTTGTACGCTGGGTTTCATGGTTTCGCCGACGCGAGAGGTCCCGTGTTCAAATCCCGGTGGGGGCAGATGTTTGTGTGATGAATACGAGCATTAGTACTCCAGTCATGGATGTTTAATATGTATTTCTATAAAAGCATACTTATATATGTACAGTATATGTATTCTATCCGTTACCCTAGTATCCCATAACACAAGCCTTATAGTGCTTACTTTGTGGCTAGGCTAATTGGTGTGAGTGTTGGAAATATTTTTGTATTTATTTAATATTATCGTACGCAGGCGTACCAACAGCGCGTATTGCGTCCACCAGAGGGCGCGTCTGCCAGAATTCATCAACCCCCGCTGCCCACACTTGACGCCGCCAAGGTCCGTGACGTCATCGCCGACGTCACCGCTCGCAACGCCGCCACTAATAAGTGAGTGAGACACTGCACACCGAAGCAATATATCGTTTATATTAAAATTATAAACAAATGGCTTGATCTTCGAAGATCTCTTCGTCTTATTCATTTGTCTAGCTAGATCCCAATGTGGGTTTGAATATAGCTTTAAATCTCACTTCCACAGTTACATCTCAACGACAAAACTTGAAACTTAACAATAATACAAATGCAGGTGGCCAGCAAGCCTATAAATCTTTATAACTCAATTTGTATTGACTGTAAATCTTTCGTTCCCAGTTTAAAATAAGAACACAATAATTTATATCAATGAAGAAATAAATGTCCCTAATGCTGGGGCACACTCCTTTCCTATTGATGGAATAGAGATATTGTAACATGACCTAACACGAGGTTTCAATGTGACTGTTAGAAGTAAGTTAAGTTAAATAAAGTTTCAAAGAATAAAAACTCCCGATGCTCGGAGAAGTTTGACATAATAAATTTTTTGTCACCCTAGGACTGGACATTGTGAAAATTGCTTTACTTCCACGATAGCAGGCCGAATGCGCTAACTACTTGCGTCTCACCTATCGAGCTCCTCAAATGTATATTGTGAGAAATAAATGGGGAATAAAACGCAAAGCTCATTACAGATGGCGCTTTGGCCGTTTGGTCCATCCATACCAAGCAACCTGTCACTTCAAGGTTGCATTCTAAATTCACGCTCTGAGTGCAACTTTTTACCCTAACGTTTCAATTTCTACATAAAGAATATATGAATCTTATATCAAATTTTACATTTGTTTTATGTGGAGCATAGGTTTGTTTATCTATCGGAATTTGTCGGTTTTGCTTGTGACTTTGAAAGCTCTCTCGATTTTTTGTTATAGGCCATTCGACACATGCGCCTCTGGCGGGATAAATTGGCAGTTTTATTCCCCATTGACCAAAGTAATGTTACTCAATACGCAGGATATCAATACGCGCGCCGCAGCCGCGCATAGTTCCGTTCTGATTGCATCTTTTTACCCTAACGTTTTAATTTCGACATACAATGGTGTCGATTCTAGCGTGATTCTCTTAACTTAAAACTAAATTTAACATCAGTCTCTCCTCTTCATTCTGTATAGAGAATGACAAGGATTCACAATTGTCAAATTTAAGTTTAGATTTAGAGAATCGTGCCAGAATCGACACCATTGTATGTATCTAATATCAAATTGTACATTTGTTGTATGTGGAGCGTAGGTTTGGAATGCAGCCCAAGTCTATCGGAATTTCTCGGTTTTGCTTATGACTTTGACAGCTGTCTCGATTTTTTTGTTATGGGCCATTCGACACATGCGCCTCTGGCGGGATAAATTAGCAGTTTTGTTCCCCATTGACCAAAGTAATAATAATAATAATGTTTATTGACATTATACTTTTTACAATTTATGTTTGATTCCCTGTGTTCCAAAATAGGCCTTAGCCTTAGTATGGAATCCAGTGTCTTCTCCAGTTATGTACTCACAATATTATCTTAGTAGTTGTACTGGACATGACAAAACATTATTATTTTTCTTGACAATAAAAGTAAATAAAGTAAAAGTGATGTTACTCAATACGCAGGTTATCAATACGCGCGCCGCAGCCGCGTATAGTTCCGCCTGCAGCGCCTCCTACCGGAGCTTCGGAACTGTCGCATGCACTACTCACCAACTCTGCGAGAAGACTAGAAGTAAGATTTTTTTAAAGTTGATCAGTAATCAATACCCTTAGCATGAACCAATATCGAATTCGAATAGTTTGTGAGTGCGAAATGTCATTGTAAATTTTTTGTATGGAAACTTGAACAGCAGCGCCACAACGGACGTAACGGGTACGAAAAATCTGTACACATTTGCCATCGCAAACTATTAGTAAATGAATGATTTTGATTTATCTTTGTATAAAGAATATAAAATTGGAAGGGAGATAGGGCTGATTAGCTGATTTTTCACGTGAATAGGAGCGCCCGTCAGGGAAAGTAACCTGTTGAAATCTAGTGTAATAAAAATACATGTGTGTCTGACAGGTATCCAGGACATAACAATATTTATTATGTGTCTGTTCAGAGTGAAGTATTCTTGACTACGGGGAAGGGATTGGGTAAGGTTAGAGGCTGAAGTTATTAATATTTGTGACCCATCATTTATCCAAATATACTCCATTCACACTTAACATGAGCTGGAATGGTGATAGTAGGGTATTTTCCAAAATTTTGAAAACTGGTTATATTTAAAGATTGGGACAAACGGTATAACAGAAAAATAAAAAAAATCTCCATTTACATAGCATACACAAAGTTTTCGTCACACAGTAGACGTCATCGAACTGAGCTTTTTGGCGGTAAATTCAAAACCATTAAAAATAAATTCAACTTTAATTGGTCTAATGGAAAAAAAGACATTAATTTATTTTTATTTTTCTGTTAAATCGTTTGTCCCAATCTTTAAATATAAGCAGTTTTAAAAAAATGGAAAATACCCTATTTATTGCCCCTTTTATAATAATAACACCTCTTCTTGGACCTGCATCATCGTCTGCATAATATAACTGGTTTCTGAAAGTTATTTTCATTCCTTGTGTTTTATTTTCGAGAAAAAAATATAGCCTTTGTCCTTACCTAAGTTTTCTCCTCTTCACACTCGTTTCAAAATTCGATCCACAGCAGACAGACAGTTGTTATTTAAATAAAAATATAAAATTAAGTAAAATCTTTATTGTTGATTACGTTTGTAGTGTAGTTTAGTGACTATAGAAAATGAATTTATCCATCCATAGCAGCCCTTTAAGTTTTGTTCGCTTAAGAGCCCTTTTACAAAATTGCGCCGCTGCCGTACTGATCGGCGCGCGGGTAGATTTACACTAGTATACATATTTAACATTATTGAGAGATTGAGGCGTTTGAAATTGTGCATATTATTGAAGTTATACTTCTTTAGGCGCGTTATGAAAAAATGATGAGAGTGAAATTTTAAGATGCGCGCGCAGCACTGTAACACAAAAATTAACAGCATGAAGTTGGTCGCTTTAGCGACCTACTTCATGCTGTTACTTTTGTGTTTACCGCACATTAAGAAAATCTACCAACAAAATAGATATAGAATCTCTATTTAGTGGGTGCTAACGACTGCATTGTGAAGGCCTATCAAAAGTATTTATTAATCTGGAACAACGGAACCAAAGCGCGATTCAGGAGACTACAGCGCCATCTCTTGACCATTGGTGTAGTAGAACCAAAAACCACATCTTTATTTTTTGTAATAAAGTAACAGTTATAGGTATTCATATTTATAATATTTATATTCGGAATACGTGTTTGAGTTTCATACAAGTGCAAATCACATATGTTCTAATAAATTATATTCAGTAGCGATTTTAATTGAATATTTTGATTATTTATTTATTTTTTCAAATTAAAACTGAACTTTATCGACTGTCGCTTTAGCGACCTACTTCATGCTGTTACTTTTGTGTTTACCGCACATTAAGAAAATCTACCAACAAAATAGAAATAGAATCTCTATTTAGTGGGTGCTAACGACTGCATTGTGAAGGCCTATCAAAAGTATTTATTAATCTGGAACAACGGAACCAAAGCGCGATTCAGGAGACTACAGCGCCATCTCTTGACCATTGGTGTAGTAGAACCAAAAACCACATCTTTATTTTTTGTAATAAAGTAACAGTTATAGGTATTCATATTTATAATATTTATATTCGGAATACGTGTTTGAGTTTCATACAAGTGCAAATCACATATGTTCTAATAAATTATATTCAGTAGCGATTCTAATTGAATATTTTGATTATTTATTTATTTTTTCAAATTAAAACTGAACTTTATTGACTGTGTCCTTTTCCAGACTTTTTATTAATTTATTGTAATTAATTATTTGCATGCAATTAAAAACTAATTTTAAACGATGTCAAAGAAGGATAACTTCTCACGCGCCTACATAAGTACACGCGCCCATTTTTCGTTTTTTCCGATAACTGGCTTCAGTAGAACGATCGGTACAGAAAAGGAAAATAGTATTTGCAAATATTCTACATTAACTTACAATAGGAAGAATAAATCTACTGTTTACTTCTATTGAAAATAGTCAAAATATTTTCTAAACGAGGTGCTCAAAAATTATGATATTTTGCAAAAAATGTGAAAGGGCTCTTAAGTTATGATTTCTTGTCATTCGTCGTTCAGGTGGTACGTGGTTGCGTATCCGCGATATTCGAGTGCCGTTACGCGGACGCGCGCAAATCGTTCCCGGCGGTTTTACGGGCGTTACGAGCTCCTGCCGCACGCGCCGCTTTAACGCGCCATCTAGCGGCTCGGCTGCCTACTAACAAGCATCTGCTGCACCATCACCAGTTCGATTTAGTCGTCAGGTAAGATTTTCTACTAACACAAACTTGTATCATCAAGTTTTCAGCTTATTTTCAGTCGTCCACCATCCTCAAGCGCCATCTAGCGGCGCGGCTGCCATAATGGCATTGACAGCCAGATGGAGCGTAAGGGCGCCATAGAGCAGGGATGTTACGGAGCTTCGACTCCGACTCCGTTAAGTCGGAACTTCCGATTATTATTACACCTTCGGTTCCGACTTCGGCTCCGACACTTTTAAATCGGAGGTTTATCGGAGATCGAAGCATACCATAGTGGCGGAGGCCTGCGTCGACTGTTATGAACAGGTACGTACATGTCGCGCGAGGAATCCCTCTGACTCCGGCTACGTGCGCTCTATCGTCAATTATTTTTCCACGTCTTATTAGTTTTGTTAGTTTGTTACGCACACGACACGTTCATAGGTTATAGACATTTGTTTTGATTTTTGCGACTTAGTATCAATAAAAGTGATCTGTTTTTGTGTTGGAAAATAAAACCAAAATCAAGTTGTATTTGGAACTACTTCATTGAAGTTAATTCAGATTCGGCAAAGTGTAAACTGTGTATGAAGACGTATTCAAGAAAGAGAGGTACAACAACGTCGTTTAAAGGTCATTTAAAGTCTGTTCGTGCCACTGAATACGAACAATTAATAAAATTAGAAACTGAAAAGAAAAATACAGTACAGACTTCGACTACTCTTCAGGATGCTAAAAAACAAATTACTTTAAAAGAAACTTTGCTGAAGAATCAAAAATGGTGTACTTCTAATACTAAATCTATGGAAATTGACAGTTTGATTTCTGAAATAAATGCTTTATAAGATCTCTAAAAAAAATTGAATGAATAGTGTTTCATTTGTCCGTAAATAAAAAATCTCTCTCCTGCCACCACTTCTGACCCTGCCTCCGCCTCCGGTTCCAACTCCGATAAATCAAATTTTAAAACTCCGACTCCGTCTTCGGTTCCGATATAATACCTCCGTTACATCCCTACCATAGAGGTATAAGAATAGAGTAGGGGAGATATAGACTCTACTACAAGTGGAAGTGACCCTCTAATATAAAGAGAAAGAAGATGTGAGACCGCTAGCTTTCTCTCTCTAATCGCACATGCGCATTGCCAACCGTAAGCATCTTACTATTTCGATGTTTTGCTTGGACCAACTATTGGACAGACGACTGCGCATGCGTCACAAGAGAGAGAGAGAGATAGCTAGCGGTCTCTCATCTTCTCTCTTTTTCTACTAGACATACACTTTTAGAGCCGCCTTTTCCACTCTATTCTTATACCTCTATGAAGGGGGCTGTATTTAGTTGTATAGTCAACATTCTACGCTTTCTATTGAATGGGTAAAATTTTGGCCAATCCTCTTTTGTCGGAGTGATTCTTGGGCACTAATCGATACGCGTGGTTTCCACGAAACAACTGAAAGCGACGCCTTGCCCACCATCTAGCTACTAGACTTCTATTGTTAATTTGGATGAGCATTCGAAATCAATTATAATTTAATTTACTCAGAAAGGCCGGGAAGGTCACCTTATTAAAATTTTAATGGTTTAAAAAATAACAAAAAACACGCTTTTACTTACTGTACTAAAAAGCCAAAAATAAAAAAATATACTTTCTGTTTACTTCATTAGAGCCTTAGAGTTAACCATGTTTATGGTCAATTTGAACATATATATATATATAACTGAAAAAGCGTTGGTACATCTACATAATTGCCAAGTTTCATGATGATACAAGAATTAGAAGTGCGTGTAATTCAGATTCTTAGATTTTATTACATAGTTACATACAAGTCGTCCTAATAAAAGCGTGTTAAAAATATGTGCTCTATATGTGTGCTAATTCTAGGACGTTCCTTAGTCATTTTTCTTCTTATACTCAATTGTCAGACATATACAGCCTAATACCACATCGCCTTCCGTCACGCAAGCTTCAGCGTCGTATGTGCCGGGCATGCCATCTTTCGGCATTTTTTCGTAGTCGATTACAAATGGTTCTGCCATCTTGTGTACACCCTGAAAAAAGCAAAATGATACTGCAATATAAATCCTTTGATATCATAAGCATCCAGCTAATATGAGTGTTTAAGTGTCTCGTTTGGCCCTTCTGTGGGCATAGCGGCATCCTCCACTATAAAGACTGCAACTAAACAGCACGTATACATCCCGGCAAACTTCTTGAGCAACGATCATAGTCACGGAAGCCTGCGCAGTAGCAATTTTACATACAAAAATGTCTTATACTACGCAAGATTATTTGTCTGTGGTTGTGCTCGAGAAGTTTGCCCCTACCTAAACACAGAGTTGTATTCCTTTATTCTAGCCCCTTTTTTTATTCTAGACTTTTTTCTTATATTAGACATGACGATCCTATCGTAAGCTATCACTTCAGATGTCTATGTGTATTAAGTATTTGTACATTTGGCAGCAATATATCCTTATCATGCTCTATTGGGAATGAAGGGAGAGTAGGACATAGGGGCTGTCCATTAATCACGTGAGGCTCGAAAGGGGGGGGGGGGGGAGGGGTCCATAAAAATCTCGAAATATCACAAGGGGGGATAGGGAGCGGGGGTGTAATAATATGTGTATTTCCGTGGTCCGAGGATTAATGTATTTAGTTAAAAAAAGGTTTTCGCATTTCTTTCACTATTTTTATGTCCGTCAAAAACAACCTAAAACCTTTCTGTCATAATAACTAAGTAAGTTATTATTGGTAGTATTTAATTTTCTATAATAAAATAAGATGATATTTTAACTGTATTTTATAAATATTAAAAAAAAAGATTATTTCTAAGTAGTAAAAAAATACACGTGATATTCTAGTCTGAAACCTAACTATGTATCACCAATGGGAAGGGGGGGAGGGGCTTACAAAATGACAAAAAAAAAATTACGTGATTAATGGACGGCCCCATAGCGCAATTTTCCCGCTCGAATATACGCCTTTTAATGATACTCTGAATGTGCTGCTGGTAGTGAAGTAAACATTTTCTTTTCACTTAGTTGACTAGTATAGTAGTAAAAAGTTAGTCATGATGCCTATTGTTCAGCGCGTTATATTATAGAATTCTGTCCTTAATACCATCAGCTACTTACCTTCGGAATGGGGCATACGGGCAGGGGACGGTTGTAATTAGCAAGCAAGCTTTCGAGGTTGCCTCTGAAGAATTTCTCGAGAAAAGCACACATGCTATTGTCTCTAAGTTCGTAGAAGTGCTTGTTACCATTAGAAGTGTGCTCCCACATATTCATTACTGCCTACAAATAATAAATAAATAAATATTTCCGACACTCACACCAATTAGCCTAGCCCCAAAGTAAGCACTATAAGGCTTGTGTTGTGGGATGCTAGGGTAACGGATAGAATACGCGGAAGAATCCCCTAAACGGGGATCCCGCGGCTTCGCGCTAAGCAGCTTAGAGGATGTTCGCAGGGTTTTTAGCGGATATTATGCCGTAAAGCGCCCGTAAGGGTTACGGGGTCCTCAGTGGACAGCCACTGCTAGGGCTCGTAAGGCTTACGGGAGCCAGGTGTGAGGTCCGTTCGGCGGTGTGCCTCTTAAAGGCGCCGTCGTCTGTAAATAGTATTTTTTGCCTGCGTATAAAAAAAAAGGTAAGGGATAGAATACATATACTGTACATATATAAGTATATTTATATAAATACATATTAAACATCCATGACTGGAGTACAAATGCTCGTATACATCAGACAAACATCTGTCCCCACCGGGATTTGAACTCGGGACCTGTCTCGAGTCGGCGACAGTCATGAAACCCGGCGTACAAACGGAGGTCGTATAAACATGAAATGGTAAAGTAAAATGAAAGTTTTAAATGAAATGTTATAATATATTCTACTATTCCACTAATATAATAAATGTGAAAGTTTGTATTTTTGTTACTCAATCACTAAAAAACTGAACGGATTTGGATAAAGTTTGTTACGCATATAGTTTATGACCTGGATTGAGATATACGATACTTTTTAGCCTGTTTTTTTTCAAGTTTCTGTGGGATTCTGCGGATGAAGTCGCGGGGTGGACTCTTTTCCTACTAATATTATAAATGTGACAGTTTGTATGTTTGTTTGTTACTCAATCGCACAAAATCTACTGAAAGGATTTGCTTGAAATTTGGTACGCACTTAGTTTCTGACCTGGAATAAGACATATGAATTTTTATCCTGGAAAAGTGATAAGTTCCTGGGAGATTAAAAAAAAAACTAAAGTTAAAGGGCGGCCCCTAGTAGCCCTAATAAGGCTAAACTATTCTACTTACAGAATTCATTTCTGTCATATCTTTGGCGAAATCCAGCATACACATAAGACTGTCGTCGGTACGGTTGTGCTTGCGCATGTTGCATTCCATCTTCATTTGATAGTCATCGTGATTGGGGCATTTTTGAATGCTAAGCAACTTGTATATGCCCTGAAAGAGTATGTCAACGATACCTATTAGTCTTTCACTTGAATGGTATTGATACTCACTACATGTTAGTCATGAATCGGAATAATTAGAAAAGAAACCTTTATATTGCGGCGAGAAATCGTATCGCATCGCGTATATTGTTCTCAAAGATTACAGAAGTAGTGAAAAATAGACTGTCAATTTTGATATAAAGGGTAATTTAAAAACAATAAAGAAATACATATGTTTTCAGAACTCTGTTGCGGCATGCGGTAACACTACACAGTACAATATTAAACATACTCCAAACTCAAGTGAAGTTTGTGACTCCGATGCCGGTACTTCACTTGGCTATTCGTATTTGGTATTTGTTAACTTGACAACAGTCTGCCTTATCACGCTTTATAAGGAATGAAAAGGGCAGACTCATGTTAAATTTACAAATAGCAAATAGCCAAGTGAAGTCGGTTCAGACAGGATAACAGTTTGCGAATCTTTTTAAATTTGTCATTTTAAGGATGATTACAAACACAAAATTCAATTTACGTTCCAACTAAAATTAATATTTATTAAATTAGACCTAATAGAAGATTTTGAATCCTCTAATATTTTTTCGTGCGAAACATTCAGTTTGTGAAATCTTTTTTTTATACTTTCCGATTTTATATTTGACGCTCTAATGGAGCAGATACATGTCGACACTAGGGTCTATTGCGTCCACTGGTAAGCAATTTTTTGTTTAAACATCTAGTGTCCCGGTTCAAGTGTATTGGCTGTCTGTCGCACATCCTGGCTGCGACACGGATACTGATTTACATCGCCACAACATATGCAACTAAGTATCGCAGCAGTGGACACAGACACTGTGTCGTTGTATATACTGAGTGTATAATGTACAGAACAGAAAATAAATGCAGTCTAAAAAAAATATTTCTAACGTTAAAACATACCTTATCACTCTCGGATTCAATAGCAAAAGCTTTATTCGCACACATCATTAATATCGTTAACCACACGTAGGCAGAAATTAATGACCACATCACGAGGCTTGTTACTCTATTGAAAATAGCAATGTCAAGTGCCATGGAGGTGTGATGCTCAGTTTAAATACACAATTGATGAATGATCACAGTAAAAAAGATCATTGATAAATACAAAATAATAATTGCGCGTATTAATGATAGACGAGGAGCTAGTAAACATAGTACATTAAAAAATATGATAAATTAAAAGAGGTACGGCATAACGGGTTTTCCGCTCGAATTGGAGTGCCCGTCTGGGGAAATAACATCACCTTACAGAAGATTACAGTAAAATAATACTAACTTTTGGTGGTGTTGTGTTTCTGTCGGTAAGTAAGGTGCCAGGGTTCCACGGGATAGGGGATTGGGTCAGGGTAGGCAACGCCGCGAGTAATAGTAATGGTGTCGCAAGTGTATAGGCTATGGCGGTCGCTTACTATTAGGCGGGCCATATGCTTGTTTGCTACCTTTTTAATATAAAAAAGATCACTCGTTTCATTTGGAGTAATTATTTGAAAGTGTATAAGCGACTTGATATTTTATGTTATTTATTAGATTCTTTGTCGATAGTGACTGAAAAATTATTAGTTATTTTTGTACGAGCTAGTTTTAAATATTAATTATTACTTGCAGTTTTTTTATTTTAACATTATACAGCACAAAAAAAAAAAACATCCAAACTATACTACTCGCGAACTTTAGTTTGTTAAAGAAATAACTGTCAAATTTTGTGTAACAAAATAGTAGGCCAATATTTTGTACATGATTTACTAGTTAAGTGTTATTTTAATATGAAAGTATTGCCAATGCTACCATGTTCCTAGTTTATAACGTGTCTTCTATGATTATTTAAAATAAAAGTGCTAGCTGAATGACTGTGGTTCTGATCGTTTATCTTTTTATATTGTGTCCATTATTTATTGCCTTTTATCATGAAATTAAGTACTTAAAGCCGTTATGAAATTACTGTCATAAAATATTGTATTAATTTACTTTTACGAATTACATTTTTATAAACTTTTGTTCCCTAACTTTTGGACTCTCTTTAATCTTGCGTGCGTAATTTTTATTTTGCTAATAGGCTATTTTCCAGCATTAAAAATAAAGTACCAATTATTGGCATGTGTATTAAACATGTATGTTGGGATCGATTTCCCTATTCTAACAAAATAAGTAGTTGATAATATTACTAAAAACGAGACATTTGAAAAGTATTTTTTGAATTGTTGATATATTGAATTGTCACATGACCGAAAACTCTAGGATTGGTGGATCCTAAAATAACGTCACCTGCTTGTAAACATGCTATAGAAGTGGCATTAGTTTGTACTGTTTGACATTTTAATGACAGCCGTGTGACATTACATGCCTGTAAGACACCATTAGCTAGAGAAACGTTTCCACGGCATATTTGAGGACAAAATCTCGTTCTTTTAACACGCTGTTATTAGCTTTACTTGTATGTGTTTATCTATGAAACGGAAACTTTCATAACAATTTTCACCTATAGCACAGTCATTTGGTAGTTTTACCTGGAAAGTTTTCCGGGAGTTTTGAAAATTGGTAATTTTTGCCTCGTATTTTTTCGCGCCACTTATTGTACCTTAAGATGGTGTGGTAATGAGTTTTTTTTGGCCAAACTACACTTTGTAAATTATTTTCTGGTTTTTCGTTCCATTTGCTTTTAAAGCGTGTTTTTTTAGTTTGTTTTTTAACTTCAATTTTTTTAATGATGAACCCAGTTTTTACTGATATAACAAAACAAAAATCGAAGGTTTCCTTTCCTAGAAGAGTGGTTTTTGTTACAGGTTGATGAACTGCGCTCTTCAGTCGACAACGGCGTTGGACGAACATTCCATTGCGGCAGCCATGTTACCTTTAGCCACCGCGTATTGCAGGAAATTGTGTACTGGCGTCATCCAGTACGCGTATATGTGCATACAGGTTGGTTTTATGCGTAGAAAGCTTAGGGTGCGATTCAAACTTAACAACGGTTGTGAAATTAGCGTGAGTCGCTGCGCAGTATACAAAATTTACGCAGTAACCAAAATGGTGTATATAAATAAAATTAACCTTTTATATTTCCTATTACTCTTTCCGAGTTATAGTAATTTAAATAATAATGTTCCCTTTAGTGAGGAGACGTTTTTATTTATCCTCATTTTGCCACTTATTCACCAGAAGCACCAGAAGATCTTGGCGCGTGGGATGTCACTGAACTGACACCTGCTCATAGTTGCGCTCGCTGCTAACTTCACAACCGTCATAAAATTTTATTTTAGTTCTATTCGAGATTTTAATGCGTTTGATCGCGATGAAAATATTTATGTTATATGTATCGGGTTAAAATTAAATTCCCTAGTATTTCGTATTATGAAGGAGGGTGTGAATCGAGAGGAACGCATTGTGTGAATGTTGCCTACGTCTCTTAGTCCGATGGGAATGAGGTGAAGACGTGCTGTCTTATTTTTTTGCAATCGCGAAAGAAGTGAGAACTTCCGAGTCTAATGAAATCTCAAAATTAAATGGCGTGTAAGACTGCGGCACAACAGCTCATAATACGATTTCAGGCTAGCAAGGTGATAGAGCAGCCGACCTCTGCCGGATTTAGAGATGTGGACGCTCTGGGCCAACTAAGAAGTGGAAGCCCTTACGATACACACCCCCCCCCCCCCCCTGGTTGTTTACTTTGCCGAAATTTGGTTATTTTTATCTCTGTGTCCCTGGACCCCAGCCCCACCTGCTCTGCATCAGTTGCTATCGCAACTGTACTCCGCCCACACTTGACATCACGGTGTCGATTCTGCTAAGTTCAAATAAAAATCCTGTCTAAGTAATGGTGGTATAGAATTTTGACACAGTTCTTGCAATTTTAACACAATATAACGAATGCATATATATAGATAACAATATACAAATGAGTTACCAAGTATAATTGCGATTTTTAACAACAACTGTGTTATATTTCAAAGCCACTATAAAGCCTTTGTGATACACGATCATTACTTAGCAAAATTGACCCTCTGGTGAGATAAAGTGATTTGTTGGGATTGATTTAGAGAGCAAATGGTTGGTTGTAGGAACACCAAGTGTGGACAAGTCAGCAGTTCTGGGAAGCAGCCTTCTACCAGGACGTACAGAGAGATATAAAGGCGCTCTACCTGCCTAGCCCCACGCATCACCAAAGGGTACCCAGTCCGAGGTAAGGAATATGAGTATTTTTAGCCTTTTTTTCAGCCAAAGCAAATGCTTAACGCATTTCCCGTCGCTGTGTAAGTGGGATTCTTCCCCCCTACCACCGCCTTAGTTAGGCCATAGGACTGGCCCAAACTATTGAGTCAGTCCTACGGGCAGAACCATAAATATCTTTTAGGTGTGTCCTTCTTGTTGGCTGTGGCGGTGAGGGTTCTTTTTGGAATCGACCATAACGTTACTGGCTTATCATGAGCACGGTTTGTAATGGCCTCAAATCGTCGCTAGCACCGGTGTGGTTATCGAACCTCCATAGTTTATCTTTCTGACGACCTAGTCCTGGGTTGAATTTGTCTCTTTAGGAAGCGTTCTTAAATAATACCGACTCACAGTTGGAGGATTCCCAGGCATATAATTCCCTTTCTAAGAAGAATTGTTGTAAACGGACTCAGTAATAGGGTTCCTTTATCATCTTTTGCGCATGGAACCCTCAAAAGTTTCACTTTAAATTGAATAACTCCGTGACGCTCTCCGCAGCTCGAGCGGTATGTACGCGGTTTCAAGGTATCGCCTACTTGAAGGTTCCGAGTTCGAATCACGTGAGGCAAATGTTTGTGTAATGAATACGAGTATTTTTACTAGAGCTGCCATGAATATTCAGCAACTATTCGATAATCAGCTATTCGGCCACTTTTTTCGCTATTCGGTTGTGTTCGGCCGAATAGTTTGCATTATTCGGCCGAACACCGAATAGCAAATTATGAAACAAAAGAACTTCCAAATGGAAATATCCTTTATTTAAATTTACTTATTGAAAGTTCTTTTGAATCTTCCAATATTTTTTTTTCTACGTGTAAGTGTCGGCGCTTCGGCCAAATCACTATTCGTGGCATCTGAAATTTTTGCCTTAGTCATGGATGTTTATATATGTATTTCTAGATAAATATACTTGTATATGTATTCAATCCGTTACGTTAGCATGATATAACACAAGGTGTGTAAGAAATAATTATTTGAAGAAAATATAATTAGAAAAAGTTTCACGCGGATTGTGGGTTACCTACAATGCGAAGAGATGGCGTTGCCTTGCATCTTAAGAATGGCTAGAAGAATTTCGACGCGGCCATCGGGGTCGCGGTAGCATAATTGGTCAGTGCATTCGTCCGGATAGCGAAGGGTGCGGGTTCGAGTCCCGTCTGCTGCCTGTTCCGTGTGGAATTTTTTCTAGTTATATTTTCTTTAGATTTTATCATCAAGCAGTTACGTTCTTAAAAAATAAAAACTATAACAATAATTATTTATTTAATTACTTGTGTTTCTATGTAGGGAGGATGAAGAGTATCTTTCCCTTTTGAAAGCTCAGGAGCCCAGCGCCTTAGAGATCGCCGCAGAACAAATGAGGCTTTGGCCCAGTCTACCACCAGGTAAGAAATAAGTCAATCTCCCCATCTCTCTCGATCCGATGTCCGTTGAACTGTTAAATTTATTCCTCTACATTATTTTAACAGTAAAAGTAAACTATAATTTGTAATGAAGTATCAAAGTGTAGTATAATTGGTTCGCTTCTACGCGCGTTGTAGAGAGCTATATATCCACCGCGCGAGCCAGTGTGACAGAAATCCAGTCCCATAGGGAGGCCATGGTCGAGCGCTTGAACCTTTCTCTTTTGGCGGTCTCCGATTGGGGCGATGCCAATTTAGTTGGGTTCAATGCTGCGAAAACCCAGGCGTGTCTTTTCACCGCAAAAAAGAGGCCATTTGATCTGGCCCCTACTTTCCGGGATGTAACCGTACCGATCACCGACCATCTCGAGCTACTCGGTATTTCATTGTCACCAACCCTCAACTTTGGCTCATACATTGAGTCCAAGGCCCAATTAGCAGCCAAGAAGTTGGGTATCCTCTCGGAGGTGCGACGATACTTCAAGCCGGAACAGTTGCTTACATTATATCAAGCACAAGTTCGGTCGTGCATGGAGTATTGTTCGCACCTCTGGGATGGATCGGCTAAGTACCAACTTGAGGCGTTGGAGGCAATTGAGAAACGAGCGATAAAGCTCATTGGAAATGACGCGCTTTGCCGGGCAAAGTTACAAAGCCCGGAACACCGACGCAAAGTTGCCAGTCTTTCGGTGTTCTATCGGTTACATTTCGGTGAGTGCGCAGAGGAATTACATGAGCTAATTCCTCCCGCCCCTTTCTACTACCGGACGAGCAGGGAAACGGCAAGGCGACATCGATTCACGGTGGCAGTTCCAAAGACTCGCACTAAGCGATTCGCTTCTAGCTTCATCGTGCGGACTGCCAAACTGTGGAATTCCCTGCCTGAGCCCTTGTTCCCCGAGCACTACAATCTAGCGGTCTTCAAAGCAAGAGTGAACCGGTTTTTATTAGGAAAGCGCGCTCCATCGTAGACTATAATATTGCTTTCCATCAGGCGAATTATGGTCAAGCGCTTACCTATTACCGAATAAAAAAAATAAAAAAAAGACCGTCCCCGTTAAGTTACGTTTAGAGCAAGTTTCCTTTTTTCCTCCGTAAGTAGCTTCTACAATATATTAGAAAACTTAAAAAAAGAGGGATGAAATCGGTAAGGATTCATTATCTTGTATTACAGTGTTTGTTATAGAACTCCTCCGAAACGGCTTCTTGTGGAAATTTTTGTGTATATGTATTTGATATATCTGATATAGTCGGTAATCGGCCGTAGGTAATTTTTTAACCCGTTGTATGATAAGGGTGTGGTTGGGTTATTTTTCGAGACGCTAATGAAATCGCGGTAACAGCTACCTAAACAGCGAACAGCTACCATAAAAATAACCATAATCAGCTACCATAATCCTCGTCTGTACGGCCTTGACGTGCGGATGTGTGTAAAAAAATGGAGGTCAATAAAGTGAAATGTAAAAGTTGTAATATTGTTATTAGCGAAGTGTTAGCGTTTATTCAGAATAAACACGATGTGATGGATAACGAGTCAATTATACGTGTATGCTTATCTGCCTTCTCGGAGCCAGACATACAAGAAGCTAAGAACCTGTTTTTTGAATCGATAACGTCAACTCACCGTCAAAAATCACGACGTAAGGACGGCAAGAAACAGAGAGATTTGGAGGACATTATTTGTCTTTTCAAGGAAGTTGACCCTAATGACATTCCAGTATTTGTGGCGCGGGATTTACAGAAACTTCCCCCAGTTTGCTTTGACCACGTAGATGTGACAAAATTGCTGAAGGATATAGTGCTACTTCGCAGTGAAATAGAACACGTAAAAGAAAATTACGTGACAAAGCATCAACTACAAGATTTAAAAAATCAGCTGGAAAATGTAAAGTTGTCATCATTAGTGGATTATTCTAATAATCATAACGTAAACACCAGAAAAAGAGGTGGTTTTCTAATGGATAGCGGACCGATCGGTTTGACAGTTTTTACAAATACCGACACACCATATCCGCTCGACGAACAACATACTGATGACGCCGAAATCGTAAATGAAGTGTGCGAGCTATCTCACTCTAGCGTGTGTGACGGTGGGAAGCCTTCTATCACCCTCGCACCTAAGAGAGTGATTGAGTTGTCACAATCAGCTGCGAAGCAACGTTCGATATTTGTCGGAGATGCGAGTGAGACGAAATCTGTCTCTGCGCAGAGAAATACTAATACTTTGCGACAGTCTTTGGCTGAGATAGTTAAACGACCCGGTGAGTGGAAGAAAAATAAACCCGACGAAAATTGGACCATAGTTCAACGTAAGAGGAGTAAAAATCGCTTTGTAGGCAAAACAGGAACAGCGGCCACTCAACCTCAAACAAATTTTAAAGCCGCAGAAAACCTAGTGCCGTTGTTTATCTCAAATGTAAACAAGGATGCGTCGGAAAGCGACATAAGCGAGTATATAAAAAGTAAAAATGAGAAAATTGAGGGTGTAGAAAAAATTACCATGAAAAATAAGAGGCCATATAATTCCTTCAAGATAATGGTATCACGGAATAAAATTGATACATTTCTGAATGATACTTTCTGGCCGGACGGGATTACGTTTAGAAAGTGCATATATTTTAGACAACGAAGCGTACATCAAGAAGTAAATAAGACTCCGCCGGCGAGCGATTACACAACAATAAACAATGGGTAGTACGTTCATTAGCTATAATTGTAAAAATATTAAAAGGAGCGCGGAGTGCGTGAGAAAGCTATGTAAGTCAGCCGATATTATAGCTCTTCAAGAGACGTGGCTATATCAGCATGATCTATCGATGCTTGGCCAGATTGATACAGACTTTAGTTATACGGCCAAATCCTCCATGGACCCATCGATGGGCATGCTGCGGGGCAGGCCCTATGGCGGTGTGGCCCTGTTGTGGCGAAAGAACGTTTTTCAGAGCGTCTCTGTAGTGAAGTGTACTAGTGATCGCGTAGTGTGTATTAAAGCGAACATAGGTGATAACCGTGAAATATTAATATTTAGCGTCTATATGCCTACGGACAAATCGGTAAATCTCCCTGAATTTACTGAGTGTTTGAGCGAATTAAATGCAGTAATACGTGACTGTGATATAGATGTCGTTTATATGTTGGGGGACTTTAATGCTCACCCGACGGCTGATTTTGGTAACGAACTTATGAACTTCTGTGACGAAAATGAGTGGATTATCGTAGATATACTCAAGTTGGGTATTTCCTCAAATACATATACTGTTGTAGATGAGTCAAATAAGTGTAGGGGAAGGTGGTTGGACCACTGCTTGGTTACTAAGGCCGCAGGGTCGTCAGTGGTGAGTATTAAAGTTCACAATGACATTTATTGGTCTGATCATTTCCCTCTTGAACTGAAGTGTAACTTGAATATAATTAAACCTAAATTAGTGTCTAATAACAATGTAAATAGTCGTATTGTATGGGGATTAAGGGACACGGAAGAAATAAATAAATATTATAAAGTTTGTAATGATAGACTAAGAGACATTAATTTCCCTGGCGAATTTCATCAATGTGCCGATTCGATGTGTAATAATATAGAGCATAGATTTATTATTGATCGGTTTTACCATTCTATTGTTAACATTTTATGTCAAACATCGATGGAAAGTCGCAATAACTCGGCAAAAAAACCAGCTAAAGTAAGAATTGTTTATGGATGGAATAAGCATGTTAAGGATGCGCATAGGCGGGCTAGGCTTGATTTTCAAATGTACTTGTATTACGGCAAGCCGAGCGAGGGACCCATATATGAAAAAATGAGAGAAAGCCGCAGGATATTCAAGTCTCGTTTAAAATTCTGCCAGAATAACCAAGAGCAGATTAAAATGGATATCCTTGCTTCACAACATTCGGCTAAAAAGTTCAATAAATTTTGGAAGGGTACAAAAAACCTTAATGGTAGGGTTAGCCTGCCTGTGAGCATAGATGGTGTGAGTGAGCCTACATCCATAGCAAATATTTTTAAGGATAATTTTCGTGTGAAGTCCGGCCTGCCATCGTTGCCCCTTGCTGAGCCCTCCAAGGTAGAGCAGCCGGTTAGTTTCTATGCTAAAGATGTTCTCAGTATCATCAAAAACATGAAGAGGGGTAAGTCTCCAGGCCATGACGGGCTCAGCATTGAGCACCTTCAGCATGCAGGGCCCCACCTCAGCAGGGTACTGGCTATGTTGTTTACCTTTTGCTTGCGACATTCGTACTTATCGTCAGATCTCATGAAAACTGTAGTAGTGCCGATAGTTAAGAACCCCACGGCCGATACCGCTGATAAGAATAATTATCGACCAATCTCCTTAGCCACGGTAATCGCGAAGGTTTTTGATGGGTTATTAGATCAAAAGCTTGAGAGCGTATTGTTATTGCATGACACGCAATTCGGTTTTCGGCGGGGGCTCTCTACCGAAAGTGCTATATTAGCTTTAAAGCACACTGTGCATTATTATGTTAAGCGGAAAACCCCTGTATACACGTGTTTCTTGGATTTGTCCAAAGCTTTTGATTTAGTATCTTATGAAAAGCTTTGGACAAAGCTAAGAGACGCAGGAGTGTCTTCAGACGTAGTAGCCCTATTTTCATATTGGTATAGTCACCAAAGCAATGCAGTTAGATGGGGTAACGTATATTCTAATGAATACCTTCTTGAATGTGGTGTTAGGCAGGGGGGTCTCACTTCACCTAGACTTTTTAATATTTATGTCAATAAGCTCGTCGAGGAGCTCAGTAGCACGCATGTTGGTTGTCACGTAGATGACGTTTGCGTCAATAACCTAAGTTACGCGGATGACATGGTGCTGCTGAGCCCCTCGATAGGGGGATTAAGAAAATTATTGCACATATGTGAGTCTTATGCTGTGGAACATGGCTTAAAATATAATGAGAAAAAGAGTGAATTCATGTTGTTTAAAGCCGACAAGAATGGTCCGACTATTATACCTCCGATCACTCTAAATGGTACACCGTTGAGCCGTGTTTCCCAGTTTAAGTACCTAGGCCACATAGTCACTGAAGATTTATGTGATAATGCAGATATTGAGAGGGAGCGCAGGGCATTGTCGGTGCGTGGTAACATGTTGGCACGTAGGTTCGCTCGCTGTTCAGCAGAAGTCAAAATTACGCTGTTCAAGGCATACTGCCAGACATTGTATACGGGCAGCCTGTGGGCCAGCTTTACACGCGCGGCCTATAATGCTCTGCGTATCTCATATAATAATGTATTTAGGGCTCTGTTCAAGCTTCCTCGCTACTGCAGTGCCTCAGGCATGTTTGCCGATGCAGGAGTCGACGACTTCTATGCGGTTATTCGCAAAAAAGTTGGCTCATTAGTAAGAAGAGTGAGAGAGAGCACGAACAGCGTCCTGAGGATGGTAGGGGACCGGCTGGACTCCGTGCTGCTGGGCCGGTTCACTGAGCTGCACGTGCTGCGTTCACGTGTGTGGTGAATCGGCCCCGCTGTATGGGGCTCCACGCCAATATTTGTTAAATTTTATTTTATTGTATTGTCTTATTGTTACTAACATAGCATTTAAGTCAATTGTACCTACTAACATACCTATGGACTCTGTCTGAAAATAAATGATTTTTATTTTATTTATTTTATTTATTTTTTATAAAAAGATTAATTGTGCATTTTCTATATAGAAAAACAGAAGGAGTTAATAGCGAGCGAAGAGTCCACGTTGTACAGCCAAGCTATCCACTACGCGAACAGGATGGTTTATCTGTTACTGCCGCTAGAGGGTGCTGGACGTCGCGCTGACGTCAGAGGAGACGAGGCTGATAGAGCCAGCAATAGTATCACTAATAGGTGCGTGTTTTTACATGACTGAAAGTGTATGTTAAATAGATAGGGGAAACTACCCAATCATTGGCACTCTTCTTATTATTGGCACTCTTGAGTTTAGTTTGAAAAAACCAGGAAACAATACATTATAGGAATAATGCTGCCAATTTTTAAATTTCGTAACCATATAAGGTTTTATTTTTAATATGTAACGACCTTGAATAATCTATTGTCTCCTTGTTTTTTCGAATTAAACTCAAAAGTGCCAATAGTAGGACGAGTGCCAATGATTGGGTGGTTTCCCTATAAGAATTTAAGAAATGTTAACATTAATGCATAACTTCGAATAAGGAAGAACATGGAATATAATTAAGAACTATATATAAAAAAAGGGAATTAAGCGCAAAAGACTGAGGAGCAAAGAAAAACAAGCACCCAAAGAGGGGCAAAACTATAAATAAAAATAAAGAATAGAAAGAAAAAAAAGAACATAAAGACCTGTCACAAAACGGGGGTAGCCGTATTAAAAAAAAGCCTTATGGCTAAATTACATTTTGTCGCTAGCCCGTATTCAGGTGCACGAAAGACATTACTCGAATTCGGGCACCCGAAGTAATATTTACTCTGAAATACGGGCTGTACGACGGTGTCGGGTAACTAAAACGAAAACTACCCGAATACAGGAGTACTTGACTCCGTTCATTTACACTTAGTCGTTTAGCCAAATTCCATTGGCACTCGTATTCGAACTAACGACAAAGTGTAATCGCGAAATTAGTTTATCTATAAAATCTTTTGTGATCTACATTTCATTCAATACAAACTTAATGTCACGTTTTTATTTCTTACGTGATCGGTAAGGCATCAGTGGCATCATTAGATATCACACAGTCTTACCTAAGGTAAGCTGCATACCACTTCTTTCCTCGTGATACGGTCTTAACATAGTTCTTTTATTTCATCTTTAGACCTTCATCATCAGCCTATTAATGTCCCCACTGCTGGGACACAGACCTTCCCTATCGATGGAATAGGGAGATTGGGCCATGACTCACCACGCGGGCCCAGAGCGGATTGGTGGGTGGTAACGACTGCAGATGCAGCCGGGACCAACGGCTTAACGTGCCTTCCGAAGCACGGCGGAGCTCGAGATGGTAAATTTTTGGTCACCCATCCAATGACCGACCACTGCAAAAGTTGCTTAACTTCAACGATCACAGCAGAACGCGCTAACCACTTGCGCCATCGAGCTCCTCACAGTGCGTTACTTTAATATTTCCTTGAGATTCTAGTTGTTGGAAATACAATGTTTATAGTGATTTCGGGAGGTTAGCAGTTCGGGAAAAAACAGAAGTCTCTAGAAATCGAAAGAGAAAAATGTACACTTATCTGTTAAGATTTGTTTGTTTTTGTTAGCAAATGAGGAGTCTCACGTGCGGAGCAACATCAGTAAATAATAATTAGAAAAAAAACGAGCGAGCCTTACAATAGTCACGTATAATGTGTAACATTTGAAAGGAATAAGCCATTTGAGCATTATGTTCTAAAATCAAATATCGCGCGCTTTCGCAACTTCCTGTTACACACTTCCGTCCCATTTCACGAAATTACTCCCACAAATTGCAGGAAAGCGAGAGGAAAGATGTTACACACCAAAAACACACACTAAGAAATTTACACACCGAAGCGAATGTTTACTACATTCGCTTCGGTGTGTAAATGAGATGAGACATGAGATTAAAAAAATATTATTTCATTGGTGCAGCGTAGCAGAATCCGACAGCGCTGACGCGGAGTCTGGCTTCGAAGAGGCTGACCCCGGCGAGGCGGGCAACAACGTCATCAAGATGGTATCCCGATTTGTAGACAAAGTGAGTTGACTATAGATGTAAAGGCGGTTGTTTTCGTTTTGAGCCAGCTGATAACAACTGAATTTTCCGTTGATCACCCATAAACAGCGGTTGATTACGATTGAAAATATTTCATTTATTGTTTATTGTATCCGTATTATGTTCTGAGTGATTATTTTTGTTTATCTACGTACTACCTACTTACTTACTTCATACGTGCGTTGTGGCACTAATTGTTTCTCAGACAGACGCGGCTTACGGCCACGGCTGGGGCGTAGGCTAGTTGTATTCGTTTGCAATGTAAGCGAGTGGTGAAACACGAGCGACCAATTAAATAAGTGTCTCCGAGGCACACATGTGTCTTCACCATAGAGGTATAAGAATACAGTGGGGAAGGCAGCTCTAAAAGTGTCCGTCTAGTAGAAAGAGAAAGAAGATGAGAGACCGCTAGCTATCTCTCTCTCTTGCGACGCATGGCATCGAATGGCATTAAATCGAAATAGTAATCTTACTATTATAACCGTAAGCATCTGCTTACGGTTGCCAATGCGCATGCGCGATTAGAGAGAGAAATCTAGCGGTATCTCATCTTCTTTCTCTTTCTATTAGAGGGACACTTACACTTGACACTTCCACTTGACTTCCACTAGTAGTAGAATCGACATCTCCCCTACTCTATTCTTATAAATCTACTAGCTGACCCAGCGAACTTCGTACCGCCATAAAAAAAAAATTAAAAAAACATTGTCCCGCGGACAAAATTGTGAATCTAAACCATTCTCAGATCCCCTTGACACACACAAAAAATTTCATCAAAATTGGTCCAGTCGTTTAAGAGAAGTTCAGTGACATACACACTCACAGAAGAATTATATATATAAAGATAGACTTCACACTAGGGAGGGGGGACTCACTAATGTACACTGTAACTGTAACAAGGATGGAGTCGGGGTAAAAAATAACGAAATTCGTGTGACACGTCAAGAAGTACACTGCACTTGGCTATTCGTGTTTGGTTTGCTATATGTAAACTTGACATCAGTCTGTCTTTTTCATTCCTTGTAGAGCATGATGCGGACCGTGTCTTTTTCAGGGCAGACTGGTGTCAAGTTAACAAAAAGCAAACACGACTAGCCAAGTGAAGAGCCGGCATTATTCTTAACATGTTCTATATGGAGTGAAAAAGAGAGACTGCTTTCTTTTAGCTACAGCAAATACGTCTAATTACACCTAATATAAATAAAACTATTGTATTTTTATGACACAGCAATCTAAATGCAGGTAAACAATAAATGTATGAATGTAATAAAAGGTGACTTCATGAATCATCTCTGAAGTAATTTTTCAATTTGACGCCTCAAAACAGGGAAAGAAAAAGAACAGCCTTTGCTGAGTTTCTTGACGGTTCTTCTCAGCACAAGGTCTCCCGCAGTAGATTTACAAAACAAGATGGCGTAGCTTCTAGACATTCTTGAGTGCTTGTAATAGCCTAAACTAGTATATAATTTTGATTATGAATAGCCATGAGGTATAAGACCTTAATTATGACTTATTTCCTTCAGGTATGCACAGAAGGCGGGGTGACCGCAGAACACGTGCGATGTTTACACCAGATGATTCCAGGTGTCGTTCACATGCACATGGAGAGTTTGGACGCAGTGGCCCGCGAGAGCAGACGTCTGCCGCCTGTACAGAAGGTATATTGTAATAATAATAATGTTTGTTTATTTGTTTATTATCACCACAATACAAATATTTTGGTACAGACATATTGTTTGTATTTACAACAGATACATTTACAGTAATATATTGTGGAGAGACTGGTGTCTAAACTGGGCAGTAAACTGCTTGTATAATAGAAAACCAGGCCCCCAGCCCATATCCCTGCAAAATGATTAGCACCTACGAGCACCATTACGCAGGTGGCTACCCACACGACCGTCTCGTCCTGATGACGAGACGCGAGCCCGACACCTCCGAAGTGGCTCACGCCAGAAGGGATTCCCCGCACGCCGCGGCGCCTACGGCGCCGGCGACGCGCGAGACGACGATCGAGAGATTACGCAGGTGGCGAGCATAATTTTTGTTTTTAGTTCTATTCTTCCCTATTGGGAAAGGCAAAGGAAAAACCATGCAGCCATCGTCTTATTTTTGTATTAATATTCCTTTTTTTTACATTAGAATGTGGGTGTGATGCATTCTAATGTTTCTTGGAGTGTTGGGCACGAAATATTTCGATTTCAGCTTTCTCCATAAGCTTCTGTGAGGTAGTCAACACTGCAATAAAGTTCTCACATCCACTTGACGATATAACGTATATTTTAAAGATTCCGATAATTCTTCAGTTGCGCAGACGATTGTAACACAAAATCACACCAATTTTATTTCACAATATCCACTATGAAGGAATTTAAAGAATATTCAAAATATGACGCCAACCGCACTCGATGAAATCCCGCCAAAAACTCTGGCGAGCATGAGTTGTAAACAAGTTGACAGCTGTCATTGCGTTTCACCCTACGCTCGGTCGTCGTACTTAGGTACTTCGGGTCACGAGTACATTGTGCAACAGGCGAGATAACCATTATTGAATTCGATCTAAATACATATACGTTAAATGTGTACTGATTTTAGTTCTCGTTACGTCCGTTGTGGTGCTGCTGTTCAAGTTTCCATACAAAATTTGACAGTGACATTTCGCACTCGCAAACGAATTCAATTATTTAATGTTAAGGGTACTGATTCCAGTCTGTTCGTGACAATATGTATTGTATCTATTGCAGCCGCGTATCGTAGCTCCGGCTCTAGTGGCGGGTGAAACGCTCGCGGGGCCAGCGTTGTAAGCGCTCTTAGTGCAGGGACGATAGAACCGCGCCACTCTTGCCCGCGTTATATGTATTGTATCTAGTGTAGCCGCGTATCGTAGCTCCGGCGCTAGTAGCGGGTGAAACGCTCGCGGGTACAACGCTCGCGGGGCCTGCGTTGCGAGCGTTCCTAGTGCCGGACGGTAGAACTGAGCCTTTCTTGCCCGCGTTATATGTATTGTATCTATTGTAGCCCCGTATCGTAGCTCCGGCGCTAGTGGCGGGTGCAACGCTCGCGGGGACGGCGTTGCGAGCGGTCTTAGTGCCGGACGGTAGAACCGCGCCTCTCTTGCCCGTGTTATATGTATTGTATCTTTTGCAGCCGCGTATCGTAGCCCCGGCTCTAGTGCCGGGTGAAACGCTCGCGGGGCCGGCGTTGCGAGCGTTCTTAGTGCCGGACGGTAGGACCGCTCCTCTCTTGCCTGCAGAGGGCGCTTTGTTCCTCACTAACTACAGACTCGTATTCAAAGGCACGCCCACCGATCCGTTCGGTAAGTATGAACAGTTATTTGTTTGTATTTATTACTCGTCTTTTACATAATTGTATGGTCGCCTATTGGCCGAATTCGTGGTAATCAAAATGAATCGCCGAATAGTATGCGAATAACTTTGGAAAGATTGCATCACATTGAATTTATCGCTTTAAAAAGGCTGTCAGGACAAGGTTTTCTTTAAAAATAAATTCAATCATGGAAAATGCACTAGAAACCAGAAATAAATACGAATCTACTTTTCTCACTAGTATACTGAACTTGTATGAAGCCGGATGAGACTTTAATAAAACCTTCAACCGATTACTGTACCCGTTAGAAAGAAGCATATAATGGAAAGCATTATAATAATCAAATTGTTCTCAGCTTGCGAACAAACAGTAGTGCGTTCGTTCCCAGTATGCTCTCTCACTCGCGAGAAAGCAGTAAGGACGCACTACCTTCCACACCTGGAGCAGTCACTACAAGAAGGACTGCAGCTTCGCTCTGCCACCTTTCAGCTGATCAAGGTCAGTGTCAGTTACAAAGATTCCATCTGCAGATCGTTTGTGTCTCACTCGCCAGAAGGCAATACGGATGTCATAAACCTTCACACCTGGAGCAGTCACTACAAGAAGGACTGCAGCTTCGCTATGCCACCTTCCAGCTGATCTAGGTCAGTGTCAGATATAAAGATTCAATCTGCGGGTCGTTTGTCTCTCTCACTCGCCAGAAGGCAATTACGATGTTTTAAACTTCCAACACCTGGAGTAATTACTACAAGAAGCAATGCAGCTTTGCTCTTGCCACCTTTCAGCTGATAGCAGTATTCGGTCTTCTACAGTAGGTTTGCCACCAGATGGCTTAGTTTTTAGACTTTCATAATGTGGTCGTAAAATGTATAAACTAATTTGAATTTGAGTTAAGATTACAACAGAAAATACAGGTCGTATTGCTAAATTTTTGTTTAAAATCGAATTTTTTTAGGGGCATCTCACATGGTTATCTACTATAGGGATTATAATTAACTTTTTTTTTCTTGACTATTAGGTAGATTATCAAAAAGTGTAGGAAATGCATTTTTTCTTTATTTATATAGTCAAAACATTACAGAACATTGATTTCAAAGTAATATGTCGCCACGTCTTGGTACAATTTTTACTTAGAAGCGACGTCCACTTCTAAGCTTTGACGCGCTTCATCTTTGTAATTTTTGGTTGATTGACAATAGAAAAAGTAAGTGTCCATTATTTTTTGATAATGTAACTAACGGACTAATCAGTTACAGTACAACTATTACTGCATAGGTTTAGCTCAATCGGTACTCCTTATTATTGATCTGAGTGGCGTGCAATTGGAGAGGCCTATATTCAGCAGTGGACTAGGATAGGCTGTTGATGATGATGATGGGTCTCCTTATGGAGGTGCTCTGTGGATTAAATAGAAACAAAACGTGTCACAGGTGGCTTTAGACGAGGAAGTGAGCGGGGAACAAGCTGAAGCATTTCGTAAACAACTGACCCGTTTGAGGCACCCGCCCCACCCGTTACTACATTTCGCCCTCGCACCAAGAGCGCCACCCCCGCCTCAACACCATCCGCCGAAACATCATACTTTGAAGTAAGTGACGGTATAGTTCCCGTCACGTTAAATGGCCGCTGGCATAAATACCCGCGCACTGCGCGATCTCTCCTGAAACATACAAAAATTTATTGTTACTCTACAATAATTCTACATGGCCAGACCTGAAAAAAAAAACGAGCGAGCCTTACAGTAGTCGCGTATGATGTGTAACATTTGAAACCTCACCTTATATTAGTAAAAAAAGAAATAAAACCTACTACAAAAGGAATAAGCCATTTGAACATTATGTTCTAAAATCAAAGCAAATAGCGCGGCTTTCGCGACTTCCTGTTACACACTTTCATCCCATTTCACGAAATCATTCCCGCAAATTGCAGAAAATTGATAGGAAAGATGTTACACATCAAAAACAAAGCCTAATTCTTTCGGCGGTGGGTGTAACCATGTGCAAACACTCACTTCCCTATCGCTCAGCGGCCTCTTAAGGTGACGGGAACTATACAGAATTTTGCTTTTCGAAAGCTTGACGAGTTCTTTGGTTTTTCAGATGGTCGGTTTGCTTAATCGCGTGCTTAATACAAATAACTTAATCTTATAATTTATTATTATTATTATTATTACACTTATTTTATGGTGTGCTTAGTGTATGCTATGTTTCGCGTGGTCTACAAAGCGCTGCATTATACAATCAAAATTTAAGATTTCCCTAATGGACATGTCGAATTTCTTTTAATATTTCTTAAGCTGTAAATGCAGCGCCGCTCCTTTACGTCCCAAGCAACTACAATGTCAAATGAGATACTTTTTCAATTTAACATTCGAAAGAAGAAAAAGCCATCTAGTTGTTTTTTTTTAACATTAAATTGCTATATTTTTAAATCTTAAGAACTAAACACTTTTGCCTATTTTCAGGCAGAATTCGAACCAGCGCCGTTCGCTATCTGTGCAAAACTTTTCCTGTATTCTTATATTCACTACGAGGACCCTCTTGTGTCGTGTAAAATATATCATTAATGTTGATAATGGTTGATTTTAAATAACCTTTTAATCCGTTTATCAATTAAGGGGTTTCGCCAAGAAGACTCTGCTGAAGACTGCCAGGAAGGCTGGCTTGAAGCCGAAACCGTCCAAGCGACAGAAATACGTGTTGCCTTCGGCCGACGCAAGATCTCTCACCTCGCCGCCTCTCATGTCTTCCCTATCCGCCGATACGTTATCATGTAAGTTGATAGACTATCTTGTAATTATAACACTCTGATGAAAGTGAATACATTCTCATGTAAGTTGCTACCACAGACAGACGGCAAATGGACTAAACTTTCCTTGCTTAAGTATAGAGTGAAAGTGGGCAGACTAGTGTTACCACCAATTCTCAAATCTTCTTGCTCCTCCAGTGCCCTACCTACGCCCTGAACAAGGCCACTAAAAACCAGACAATACTCCTTCACTATCACCCGACACGCACTATGAGGGCCGCGGTCCCCCTAGTGCGGGCCAAGAGGGCGGGTGTGGTCGCGGCTCACGTTTCCGAATGTCCGCGCACCCGCCAGATGTTTGTCCGCGAACGGACCCAACCCCGAAAGGGTGACCCGGGGCATCAGGGGTATCAACATCCAGAGAGCTTGTGCAATGCGACAGACCCGCGGCTCTCGCAAGAGTGGGAGGGAGAGCGTAGTTCTCTCCGTCGCTCTCCGCCCCCCTTGGTCCTAAAAAGGACCGTTTAGCGTAACCCGGCCGATGATTAAGACCACCAGGGGGTTATGCTACCTTGTTTGGCCCTGAATAGGGCCCTTTCCCTGCTGGCCCTGAAAAGAGTCTTTTCCTCATCAGGAAAAGGATGGCCCTGAGAAAGGCCTTTTCTTGATGTCCCTGAAAAGGGCCATTTGCTCGCCAAACCCCAAGTAGGGTTCAGTCCCTCCCCGGCCCTGAAAAGAGCCTTTTCCTTGTCTGGTCCCACCTGACCCCTCCAAAGCGCATCGGACCGGCATCGACAGGTCACCATGGCTGATCGGATGTGGGCTTACACGGCCTGCTGTATCCGCAACCCCACCAGGCTAAGGGGTCGTAGTGCAGCCCGGTCTCCCGCGCCCCGGACGGCAAGGGCGCCGGTTTCCAGTTTTAAGGCGAAGCCACATCATCGCATGTTTCTCTGTGCGGCAACTTAGGTCGTCGTCTCCATTAGGGTCCAACCCTCCCATGGCCCTGAAAAGGGCTCGTTCCCTTCTGGCCCTGAAATAGCCCCCTCCCCGTGCTGGTTTTGGTCCGTGCCGGCCGAAGCCGGTAACCTCCATATCTGGAGGCCGTGCCCCTATCCACCACCCGGGGGACATGTCCAATGGCAGACCAGAAAACTGCACACGGACCCTGTACTTATCCTAGCATTTTAAACTTTCATGGTCTTTATCATTATAACAGGTAATTAGCGGAATTGCCATCATGTACCATGTTTTTGCGAGTTCTTCGTGCTCATGGCTTTTGCAACCATGCCGAAATATCGGAGACTCGCACAAACTAAGGTACATGATAGCAATGTCGCTAATGGAACGTATAACTCATTACAGATGGCGCTTTGGCCACTTGGCCTATAACAAGCAACCTGTCACTTCAAGGCTGCGTTCTAAACCTACGCTCTGGGTGCAACTTTTCCCCCTGACTTTTAAATTTATTAATTTATGTCAAATTTGACATTTGTTGCATCTGGAGTGTAGGTTTGGAACGTAGCCCAAGTCTACCGGAATTTGTCGGTTTACTTTGACAGCTGTCTCGATTTGTTGTTAAGGGCCATTCGACATTTACGCCTCTGGATATATAAAGAGTTAAATTGGTAGTTTTTTTCCCCAATTCTATTTGTCCTTTCGTATTAACAAGATACAATTGTTTGCAGTAGAGGAACTGGAGTTAGCCAGTGAATCGGGCGAGCCAGCGGCGGGTAGAACGCTAGAAAGATTGAGGGAAAGGGCCTATGCCAGGGACTGGGCTAGACTAGGGCTCGCCGCGATGCCCTATAGGCTGTCTCACGCCAACGCCCTCTATACGCTGTGCAGAAGGTAACTGTTAACAAACATACACTTAACAAAAAAGTTTAAGGAACGCTCATCATTTACAGAGACTGTATGTTTTATTAATTATATTAAAAAATAAATTCTTAGCAAAGTAGATTGGTTTATATTCTTTTTTGTTCCCGAAAATATAGTTAACTGATTTTAAACATACAAACTTTTGGATTACGTTTATAGGAAGTAGTATAGTATAAATATATTATAATAGTAAAAACCCCCAAAAGTTCAAAACCATACAACATATTGCTTAGTCATGAGTATACTTATAACGTTACGTGTTGGGATATGGTTCGAAATTATAACGCCAGTTCATGATTGGCAGTTCTTTATTCACCACATAGTTCACACAGTTTTATAGTAAACACACAATACTACACTCACTGTACACTATACAAATCTTTATATAATCGTACACGCACACTTTACGTGCACTTTAATCGCCTTAGTAATCTTTCCGAAATCGCTGTTGAAACTCAACTTTTATCGCCTTAAAAAATATTGTCACTACGCGATGCAGAGTGCCCTTATAATACGCCTATCGACGCATTCCAGATAAATCCAGTTCAGTTTATAATTTCCTAGTAGGGCATGCAAAAACCGGGCGTTTTTGGTAAACCTTTTTTCCCGGTTTTCATTTAAAAAGTCGGCTAAATCATATAAAAAATAAGGTTTTTAACACTCATACCAATTAGCCTAGCGCCAAAGTAAGCACTTTAAGACTTGTGTTATGGGAGACTCGGGTAACGGATAGAATACACATGATGAGCTGGCGAACAAAACGTATAATTACGCATCTGGTCAAAGTACTTTTTTTTTTAGTCTGGTTTTGGACCCGCTGCATTTGAATCTCAACTCATTTTCAATCAAAACCACCTAAAACAGTGTTATAATTACTAAATTTATAAATTATAAACCACGCCAAAAGCTCACTGTAGGTATGTCATTCAGTTTTTTACAGCTCGTGTAAAATTTAATTGTATGTAATTAAACCGTTTTGTTCGCCAGCTCCTCATATACTTTACATATATAAGTATATTTTTATAGAAATACGTATTAAACATCCATGACTGGAGTAGAAATTCACGTATTCATCACACAAACATCTGCCCCCACCGGGATTCGAACCCGGGACCTCTCCAGTCGGCGACACCATGAAACCCGGCGTACAAACCACTCGGTCACGGAGGTCGTCAAATAAATATATTCAGCATTGTGATTTCTTCGCAGTTACCCAGCCGTGATACCAGTCCCCGAGAGCGTGGGCGACGAGTCTCTACGCAGAATATCTCGATGTTACCGCCAAGGAAGGTTGCCTGTACTCACGTGGCGACATCCGAGAACGCACGCGTTACTGGCCAGGTATGTACCAATTTTTAATAGAAGAACACTTTATGCAAGGAGGTTACTTCATAAGTTTTTGTGAAAGATCTGACGATATTTATTAATGTTCGTGGAGAAGTGGACATTTACCATTCTGTTGTGTATTTAAGTAAAAAAAATAAGTTGTAATATCGATTTTCAACTATGCTGCGAAGACTTTTCTTACAGTCAGCAAAAGACTGTCATTAAAACTTCAATAGTACTGCCATGTTGAATATCTTCTAGTATGCCTTGGGCTGCAAGGCAACATCATCCCTTAGTTTTTTTTATGTAAAGCACAATGTCAAACAAAATACTATTACAAATATTAAACATTATGAAAGATAAAATAGCATTTGTAGTTCATCATATTTTTATTTTAAAGTCTCGATAGCATAGGTCTGGCCTGAAGGTGAAAAGCGCTGGTTCTAAACCAGTGTAACATCTGAATTTTTTATAGTATTTTTTTTGGAAGTGTAACGAAATTTTTTTCTTGGCCCATAAGATCGGCAGCTCCTCATCACAAGGGTGTAATGGGAATGTTAAAGGCTACTCATCCAAATCCTGCGGCAACACAAGGCGGCACCGAGACAACATCTAGCATAGAACAGGTAACAAGTTTAAGTTTGATTGTAGCTAATAGATAAAAAAAAAATATTTAATAAAACACTTTTTGAACCAGCGTTGCCAGACTTTTATTTATGTCCTGATTTTTAAATCAAAATTATATGTCCCGTGCGAGACAGGCTCAATCCCGCTTTTCGGGAATAACTCGACCGTGCGTGCAGCGTACTGAGAAAGCGAGGGCAGGTGGCACTGACAAGTGTGGACAGGCCATCTGCCCGGCGGGACGGTATGGAAGAACTCTCAAACCAAAGTCTCAACTACTTAACGATAGGGTAAATCTGATTTGAAATATCATATTTTTATTAAAATACATTTTCTATGGATATTTTTACTAGGTACCTATCGTCACATAAACGTAATTTGAACTCGAATAAAAAGGTAAATATTCAAAAACTTTTTATTATTATTATTATTATTATGTACGTCTTTTTTACTATGTCCCGCTTTCGACGAAAGAATCCCGCTTTTTTCACTCAAAAAGGTCCTAAATCCCGACTTGGCAAAAAAATAATCTGGAAACGATGTTTTGAACAGTAATAAGCGCGATTCATAACTTTTTTTTATTCCTGACGTTTTACATTGTCCCGCTTGTTTGTATAATTTTATACTCTTTCAAAAAGTGTTTTACTAATTTATTATAGTCGTGGCACCCTATAAAGGCCGTTTTGACACATTGCAATAGTGACGTCAATAGTCAATTTGTAATCGAAAAAAATCTTATATAATGCAATACGAATCAAAATCACAGGTAAAAAAAATAAAAAAATAGGTTTTTAAAATTTTAACCAATATTGCAAGAAGTCGCTGATTATAAAGATAGAATACATAAATGTTTACTCATGCTCAGTGATCCTATATGTAGCGATCTTATTGATTTTATATTTTGAATTTCATATCCAAATTATGTAGCTTATAAATACTCACTAATTATATTTTTATTAATATTATATAACAGTTCTTAATGATAATAACAATAAAACAATTAATTAATTTAATTTACTTAATCCTTTATAGATTCTGTCAAATAGCCGGTGTCTTTAGGTTAAAAATTATATTGTATTTAATTGTTATAAACTTGACAAGGTTTTTGAAATCACAATTACAATAATCACAATTATAATAAAATAATAATAAAATCACAATTAAATCACAGTTACACCGTAATATAAGATTGTTTTAAAAAAATAATTAAATCTACGCCTTCAAATTACCGATTCGTAAATTGTATGACTCAATGCCCGTCTCTAATGAAAATGAAGAACAATAATTATTTCTTTCATATTAAGAACTACTTTCAAAATTCGAATATGAAACTTCAAAACAACCTCCACTATTATATGGGATACGTGAAAACATACGGAATAAATACGCTCTACATTAAGCTTGAATGAATTACTTTGTTTTGTCTCTATTCATTGAATGACAAATGACATTTGAGTGATATAAACAAAATACGGCGTAACTAGTCTTAAGCTTATTCCTCATTTATAAATAAGGGGGAGAATATTGAAAGTTTGATTAAAATTATGTGCTGACACTTTCTTTGCAATGCCTGAGTAAGACAACATGCTTCTTAGTTTAAACAATACTCTTAATTTTTTTTTGTGAAAAATCTATTACACAAATATCTAAGCTCGAATAACGACATAAATACTTATCTTCCATTGATAGGGAAGGCCTCTTCCTTAGTAGTGGGAACAAAAGGGTCGATGACGTTATAATTCAACGAAATTCTATTTAGTCCCACATTTGGATATCAAAAAATAACACATAAAGTATTTTTTCTATTGTCAATAAAATAAAGAATGACAAAGAGAAAGCGCGTCAAAGTGTGTGACCCCACTCATTTAACAACGCTCGTGACGTCACTTTTAAATAAAAATTGTACCAAGACGTGACGTCATGCGACATTTCAAATCAATATATCTGTGTAATGAATTTGATTATGAAAATAAAGAAAATAAACGTGACCAATACTTTATGATAATCTATTTCATAGACGAAGAAAGAAGTTAGTCATCATCCATATTAATAATTGGATTTATTATTATTATTTGAGGAGCTGGCGAACAAAACGGTATAATTACGCATCTGATCAAACTACTTTTTACAGTCCGGGCGTTTTGGGCACGTTGAATTTGAATCTCAAATAATTTTGAATCAAAACCACCTAAAACAGTGCTCAAATTACTAAATTTATAAATTAAAAACCATGCCAAAACCTCATAGTAGGTATGTCATTCAGTTTTATACATCTTCTGTAAAATTTTATTTTATGTAATTATACAGTTTTGTTCGCCAGCTCCTCATTTTTAATCGTTGTCCACAGGAACGTTATCTAGCCACATTAGCTTCGTGTACTCCGACGCGGACAGAACTAGCGGACTCCAGCCTCAGCCTGGACTCGTTATTGTTGGGATGCGACGACGCCCCTGCTTCCGCTTCCGGGCCCGCGCCCGTTCACACGCCGCTCCTCACTAAGGCTGCGGGCACTCTCTCGTACGTATAATTTATCTGTACTAATATTATAGCAACTTTACCTAAAGTACGGTCAACGAGAAGCGTTACAAAATGTATACAAAGTCGATGAAAGGTCGTTTTCATTGATAGTCACGGTGTATTGAACTCCTCCGAAACGGCTCGACCGATTTTCGTGAAAATTTAAATGCATATTCATTAAGTCTGAGAATCGGACAACATCTGTTATTCATCCCCCTAAATGTTAAGGGTGGTCCACCCTAAAATTAGAATTTATTTTTGGACAAAATATTTTGTTTTAATTTTTTTATGATACATCATACAACTCTAAATTTCCACCCTTCTACCACCAACTCCTATTTTTTATGGCGGTGAGAAGTTCGCTGGGACAGCTAGTATACTTATGTATGTATTAGTATCCGTTACCTTTGAACCCTGTAACACAAGCTTTCAGTGATTACTTTGGGGCTAGGCTAATTGGTGTGAGTGTTGGATATATTAATTTTTTCCTTATTTCAGGGTGTTACGAAACAGCGGGGGCAAAGGCGGGGGCGGAGCGCCCAGCACGGGGGGCGGGACACGACACTTCGGCCGCTGGGGCTCCCTCAAGGATCGCCGGCAACCCTCGCATCTAGATTTATACGCCCCGAGGCAAAGGCTGTCCACCGCAGACCAGGATTCAGGTCAGTGCAACTTCTCAATGTTAAACCCTACTCTCTCACCAACGAATTAGAAATGACATGAAATACAGACATGGGACAATACAAGGCCACATTGTGTTACAATGTTTTAGTTCGAATCCTGTATCGAAGCTTCTGCGAGCAACCTTAAAGAACTATAAAGGAATTACTACTATGCGTTTGAAACTCGCACAATGTCTCTCATTGTTAGAAGAACTAAAAATTTCAAATAATAGGCGGTCATTGGGGCATAAATGTGTTTTTGTCTTAAAATCATTAAATCTAAGGTGTTTATTATTGCGGGAAATTGTAGCTAATATCAGATGAGGCTGGTATACTTTCTAATATAGTAGTTAATACTTATTGTAATGTAGGGAAATCTTATGGTCAGGTTTCTATAGGGCTGGTACGAATGGTCCAAAAGTTCCTAAAACTCATTGTATATTTATTCGTTAAAGGAAATAAAGCAATTTCTCCAATAAATAAATAAAAGTATTTTCTCAACTTCCGTTACATTATTTGAATATATTATATACGTCTTATAGTCTAATATTAGAAGAGTTGAAGTTGAGGACTTCCTCGGAGGCCAAGAGAGCGTGCTCCGCTGTTCGTCGGTCCGGTCTTCCTTGACTAAGGTGCCAGATGAAGTACGCTTTATGTTCGCGCGTCGTTACGTCCGGTCGCTAGATGGAGCTTTTTATGAACACTAATAAGTAAATGAAAAAGACTGTTTTCCTTGTCCAGTGTCCGTAGAGAGTGGTTGGGCGGTGCGTCGCGCGTCTCTCTACGTAGTATCGGAGAAGGGAATAAGCGGTACCGGTACTGGTGGTGCGGAACCTGTTCCCGTGGAGTATCCTGACGCGAGGCATACCAAGCACGCTTTCAAGAAGTTAATGAGGGCGGCTATTCCTTCTGCCCCGGCGTCCGCCCCGGATGAACCTGGGTTCCTCAGGTATCATTATCATCATCAGCCTATTAATGTCCCAACTGCTGAAGCACAGGCCTCACCTATGGATGGTATAGGGAGATTGGGCCATGACCCACCACGCGGGCCCAGTGCGGATTGGTGGGTGCTAACGACTGCAGATGCAGCCGGGACCAATGGCTTAACGTGCCTTCCGAAGCATAGAGGAACTCAAGATAGAGGATTTTTGGTCACCCATCCAATGACCGACCACTGCGAAAGTTTGCTTAACTTCAACGATCGCCGCCGAACGCGCTAACCAACTGCACCATCGAGCTCCTTAGGTGTATGCAATGCAATTGAATAAACTGATATTTGATTTGATATGACAACACCCCTTTGCACACACTAGAAGCCTGAAGGAGACTTCAGTCGTCTTATTCCAAGATGCGGTCTAAAGTAATGGCGCGATTACACTTATTCGTTAGCCCGATTACGAGTACCAATGGATTTCGGATAAACGACGAAGTGTTAATGTATCGAGCCGAGTCCCACCCGTATTCGTGTAGATTTCCTTTTGTATAGCCGACACCGTCTTCCAGTAATATCTTATCTTCGAGTAATATTTTTGGAGCACCCGAATGCCGGCTAACGACGGCCTTACTGTTGGTTTAAACCTAATTTTCTCTCTGTCTTCTTTTTAGCAAACAAAAGTGACAACAACAGTTTTGGTCCAGGTTAAACTTACGTGACATTTTTCTTTATAAGGGAAATAATAGTTGAATCGAGATTTAGCAAGCGTTATTTACTACAAGTTGGCTTGTGCTCCGTTTGTTATGAACGTTGTCGATACAGGTTGATCGAAGAGTCTGGCTGGTTATGGCAGCTGCGTCAGTTGTTCCAACTGTCTGGTGCCGTGGTAGACTTGTTGGATCTCCAGGCGTCTTCTGTTCTACTCTCGTTAGAGGATGGCTGGGATGCTACTGCACAGGTAATAATACTACAGAACACAGAGGATAATCATAAACCGTTCGTACGGGAACCGATGTCGCCGGTTCGCCCCCACTACACTTCCACCTAATAGGTAATAGCCAATCAAACGACGCGACATTAAACAATCGAATTAATCAACGCTCACACCCGAGAACAACTATGCAATCAGAACCAAGTTTTGGTCGAGTTATGAGCATTTGCTCACACATAACTGTGGCGCGCCTGCCCCGCCCTCAAGGCCCTTCTAACCTCTTTCTTTGTTCTTTGGTTAACACTTATTGGCAGTTGATTTACAATATAAGTACACATCTCAACTCATTAATAAAATGATTTTACAGTACTAATAAATTTTCCTGTCAAATCGTTATAACTACATAAAGTTATTTTGTTTAAATTAATAAGACCTAGTGGTGAAACTTTACCCCCTAATTAATAAATTAAGATAAAGCTTGGATAAGTTATTTCATGTTTTGTTTCTGTTCATTAAATGACAAATGACATTTGAGTGACAAGAACACGGTGCAACTAGCTTATACCTCGTTTACTAATAAGGGAGTAGTTGTTCATAACTTGAAAATGGAACACACACATGACAAAATTCTTTTTCTAATTACAATATCTATACTTCATTAATAATAATAGAGTAATATTAAAAGCCTTTATTGACGTGATCTTTTACATGTTTTTTTCTATATACATTTTTGTTTATTTAAAGTTGTCTCTTCAGAATAGGGCTCCTCCTCTAATGCCTTTTTTTCTATATTTTGCTTTCCTTGTCCAAGTATTCTCCTCTTTTTCTTTCTTCTCATCAAATTGTAGGAGTGACAATTTGAAGAAAAGAAAGATAAAGAGTGAAAGAGGAAGACATTTTAGAAGATCACAAAAAATTTTAGGGTTTTACTTGGACAAAGAAAACTATACTTCAATATAAATTGTAAATGACCACTATTCTAAAAAGCAATTTAATGTTTTCATTCTTCTTACTCCCCCTACTATTAAATAACAATACCATCGTCTCGCCACTCCACCAGATCTCCTCGCTAGCTCAGATCTGCCTGGACCCGTACTACAGGACCCTGGAAGGGTTCCGTATCCTTGTAGAGAAGGAGTGGTTGGCCCTTGGCCATAAGTTTCAGCAAAGGTCGAATATAGCACCGGCGCCACAACAAGGATTCACGCCTACGTTCCTTATGTTTTTGGACGCTGTACATCAGGTTAGTAACATTATTATTCATTCGACCTCCGTGGCCGAGTGGTTTGTACGTACAGTTTCATGGTATCGCCGACTCGAGAGGTGTCGGGTTTGAATCCCGGTGGGAGGTGTTTGTGTGATCAATACGAGCATCTATACTCCAGTCATGAATGTTTAATATGTATTCTTATATAAATATACTTATATATGTACAGTATATGTATTCTATCCGTTATCCTAGTATCCCAGGACCTCTCGAGAAGCGAAACATTTAATCCCGGCGTACAAACATCTCAGCCACGGAGTCGTCATTGTAATTGTGTTTGAAACTGCATGATAATGTCTGTAAACATAACGACAATGTGACAGAAATTACGCATTGATCTGAGCTAACTCTCTTTGGGTGCGTCGAAAACAATTCAGTAGAGCACTTACTTTATCAAACAATCTTTACAAAGCAAAAGGCAGGAATAGATTAAGACAGATAATTCGGCATTATTTCTTTTAGAACAGAAGTTAGAAAGAAAGTTAGTGGTTAAAAATATATAATAATTGTTATACAGGCCGACTGTCTCATTCAATCTTCGTAACTCAACCGCAGTTATTCTATATGCTAGCGCGGGTGTGATATGTATGAGTAATTTTTGTCTTTATTCCACAGCTGCAGAAACAGTTTCCTTTATCGTTCGAGTTCAACGATTTCTACTTACGTTTCGTGGCGTACCACAGCGTTTCGTGTCGATTCCGAACGTTTCTGCTAGACAGCGAAGCTCAGCGGGCCGAGTTGGGACTGGCAGCAGCTGACGACAAACGGGCCGACACCAATCGACTGGTAAGATTCTTATATATTTATTTACTAGCGGCTGCCCGCGACTTCGTCCGCGTTAACTTTAGTTCTTTAGAATCGTTCAGGAACCTAACATTTTTCCGAGATAAATGGTATCCTATGTCTCAATCCAAGATATTAACTATATGCGTATTAATTTATAAATCATATCCAGTTTTATCCTCGCTTTGTATCATAGCTTGTTGAATCTATTCCGGACCTTCCTGTTAGACAGCGAAGCGCAGCGGGCCGAGTTGGGACTGGCGGCAGATGACGATAAACGGGCCGATACTAATCGTCTGGCGTGATTCTTATAAGACATACTAGTTGTACCCTGAATTTTCAGCCGCTTTAATTTGATAAAAGCTGTTTATTATTATTGTGCTACTATATAGTGAGTTTACCTTAAAAGATAGAAACTTTTAGAGGGGTTTTCGCAGCGTACGACGAATCAAAAGGGCTCATTATATAATTTTGTGTCCAGTGCGGTTTACTGGGTACCAACTGTCTTAACGTGCAAAGGCTTAACGTGCCTTCTGAAGCACGGAGGAAGCTCAAGTTAATAAGTTTTTTGCCATCCATATATCCATAGTTTATTATACTGCCTCGAGTATATTTTTTTATGAGATGTAGTAAGGCCAAAGGGGGAGATCTACCTCCGAGCTTGGCGATAGTAGGTCGGGGGCCGCGGCCCAACTGATATTGGTCGGGCATTGTATTTATGCATAGTTGGCCTCCTAATTTCTCTTGCGCGATGTAGGCTTCCATACACTATGAGTGCAGTGCCGGTAGTGTCATCTCTTGAAAGGTGTGTGGCGCATGTAGATGTCGCAGCCATATGAGATATGTATGTTTGTTTGTATAGGGTGTGGAGACAGGAGCGGGCCCTGAGGAAGAAGGCTCTGCACCATTGGGACAGTCCATGTTCGACTATATAGATCGCCATCACCAGAAAGCACCAATCTTCTACAACTTCCTGTACACACCTGACTTGGATAATCCGGTGAGTTTACAGACAATGGGAAAGAAAACTGGCAATTTAGCCGGCCAGACGTGCAAGTGTCAAATGGCCCATAAAACAACAAACACACAGCTGTCAAAGTCAGAAAACTGTCAAATTTCGATAGACTTCGGCTGCGTTCCAAACCAACGCTCCAGGTGCAGTAAATGTCAAATTTGACGTAAGTTTCATACATTCGATGTCAAAATTTAAACGCTAGGGTAAAAAGTTGCACTCGGAGCGTAGGTTAAAAACGCAGCTTTGAAGTGAGAGGTTTCTTGTTATGGGTCAAATGGCCTAAGCACCATCTGTAATGAGCTTTGCAATATCTTTACTATTCATGAATCAGTACCAGTTTAGCTTTTCTCTTAGTTTAGAGGCAAAAAGACCTAAAGAAGAATTACCGCTCTCTTGGAAAATGCGCCATTTTTTTTTACTAAACAACGTTCTAATGTAATCATTCACCACTGTATTACTTTCGCTATATGTCAGATAGCGTTATCCTAGAAATGCAGAACTTTCGAGCCCAAATTATACTGTTTTGAGATAGTAAATTCGATATCGGATGAGAATATATAGGGATCTCATTGACTCTAGTTGACTGTATAAATATATGACATTTAGTATAAAATTGATATTTTCCATAGGTATTGAGGCCTGTATCATCACTCAACTGTCTAGAAGTGTGGCAATACTACGTAAGCGAAGAATTGAGTCACGGAGCTCCGTACGATTTGGACACTCTTGCACCTCCAGATCTCAACGATACGCAGCGGAGATTGGTCACCGCCGGGTATGATGTAGCATTTTAGAATGCCGGGTCTCCAGCAAAAGTTTGTTTAAAACATTCAACAAAAACACAGCCGTAAAACTTTGTTTATGAAACATGTTTCTGTTCACACGCCGTCTACTATTCATGTGGCTGACGTACACAAAATACACAGGGCTGCGTTCCACAGCTACGATCCAGGTGCTACAAATGTCTAATTTGTCAAAAGTTTCATACATTTTATATCAAAATTCAAACTTCAGAGTGAAAAGTTGCACTCGGAGCGTAGGTTTGAAACGCAGTTCCAACTAACGAGTGGTAAAAAAGAAGGGCCGATGAAACAACATGTTTTCCATCGGGCTCGGAAAGCAAAAACTTTGTTGATTCAAACAAATGTATGTAGTGAAACAAAGTTTGGTGTAAACTGTTGTTTTTCTTGAATTTGATATGTTTTTGTTGATTGTGTAGGGCGAAACACGCGTTGGAGACACGGTTTAACTTTTATTCTATACTAGTTCCGTCCGCGACTTTATCCTCATTATAATTAGGTTTTCTATAACCCCACAGGAACCTAACATTTTTCCGGGATAAAAAGTATCCTGTGTCAATCCGTTAAGCCGTTCTAGCTTTAAAGAGTAACAAACTATCACATTTATAATATTATAGTAAGAAGAAGGATAAAATAGGATACTACAAAGAAGGATAAAACACCTCATATCTCAAAAGAAATAGCCGTCCATATGACGTGGACACGCTCGCGGCGTCAGATCTCAACGATACGCAGCAGAGACCGGTCACTGACGGGTATAAGTAACTTTTACTAATATTATGAAGGCGAAAGTTTGTGAGTGTGTATGTTTGTTACTTCTTGACGTCTAAACGGCTGGAGCGATTTTAATAAAATTTGGTATGGAGTTAGCTGACACCCTGGATATTAACACATAGGCTACGGTTTACTGCGGGAAAACATCCTTAATAAACCACGTGTAATACCGCGGCACACAGCTAGTACTATATAATTTTAAAAACACCCTATGGGTAATCCTCGAAATAAATAGCACCACGTACACTTGAATCTTTATGTTAAAATCAACGACTTTCTATCGAAATTATTTGGGTATCCTTGACATTTACCACCTGGTGATTGAACGATTACTGGCTTATAATTACACCTACGCTGATGAAAATCTACGTGTGCGTAATGAAGTGATCTTGAACATCGTGAACAGCCAGATCATGTTTTAACTGTACTGTGAAAATAGACAATACATGTGAAATTTATTATATATATATATTTTTAAGCGTTTAACTGCTAGATGTTTAAATCTTAAGAAATTTTAATAGAAAAAAATCACGCGGGGCAGCCAGCAGACGGGACTCTAACAATTGCTATTTCTTCTTACAATTGTTTAATACTTTGAGTAAAAGTAAAGTAGTTTGACTTTGAGGGTTACCTACCATGCGAAGAGACGGCGCTGCCTTGCACCCTAAGAAATACTAGGCGAAATTCAACACGGCCATTAAGGTCGTGGTAGCATAATTGGTCAATGCATCCGCCCGGTAACGGGGAGTGCGGGTTCGAGTCCCGTCTGCTGCGTGGACCGCGTAGAATATTTTTAGTAAAAATTCTTTACATTTAGAAATGTGAAGAGTGTAAATTTAACTATATATTTGGATTAGGTACGACAGCGTGGCTCGTTGTATGCCGGATGCATTCTCCGGACTTCTAGAACGATTGCGTCAACTGGAATTGGAGTTGGGACATTTACCGCAGAAGTGGCGAGTACGCTGCGACCAACTCGACCTACCCAACACCACTGAGCTACAGGTAAATGACTGTACGAAATATTTGTGGGGAAGTGTTTGTGTGCAAGGGAGTGAGTAGGAAATCTGTTAATTATTGCTCTTTTTTAAACTTGTTTAAGGGTGACTATTCCAGTGTTATGACTGTTTTCAATATTTCATGGCCAATCCATTTTTTTTAAAGTCTGCTTTAATTCGACGGAATGCTGACATTGCAGGGATGTTCTCGATGTAAGCCCAAAACACATACAAAGCGGGTGGCTCAATGTGCTCATACATATAGCGGACCGGCTGCATTGAAACTGCTGCTGCCGCTGCTACTGCAAAATTTGAGTGTAATTCAGTATGTCCAAGTGTGCCTACGTCCACATTCAATTATTTTTTTATTGAAATTAAGTGCGAATAGTCAAATATTTTTTTAATAAATACAACACCCATAAATACACGTCCGGGCACGACCCATTTACGCGTCCATGTGGATTACCGCTGTCAGTATTCCGTCTTATTAAAAATTAATTTATATACTAAAAGATTACCGCGGAAGAACGATAATACTTATCAAAATTGGCCAGAGGAGCGATTAAAATAAGAAATAAGAATTTCAATCTATAGAATATTTTTGTCAGTATTCCGTCTAATTAAAAATTACACTAGATGGGCGAGTTTTGCGTATCAAATATATACGATTAAATGAGTATTTTGCGTATCACATGCATATTATATACTAAAAATGTGTATGCTATATAAAATATCGCGAAATTTACTATAAGTAAATTATCGCGGAAGAACGATAATACTTATCAAGATCGACCAGAGAAGCGATTACAATAAATAAGAATTTCAATCTTAGAATATTTTGTCGACTGCCTGAAATCCAGTAATTCGTATGTGAAAAAAATTACAGAAAATTTTGTTTCGCGTTCAGATACTGTGATAGATCGACATGAAAATAGGTTTATCCCCTCTAGCATGACCGCCGAAACGGGATATGATAAAGCTTTTTATCTAGTCTCAACTGTCAAACTCTACTGTAGTCTGACCGTTAATGTAGATATATCGCTTTATCATATGCCGTTTCGGTGGTCATGCTAGAAGAGCATACTTTGGTCGTAACATTTTATTCACAATTAATTCAGTTGCTCCAACGCATTAGAAATGATATGGAAACATTACTATCTAACAAATGCCGATAAACATGATTCCAAAGACATATAACTAAAGTTCAATACTAACACGACACACACACAGTCAAAACAAAAACTTTGGCAAATCAAATATCTACAAATGAAATAGTCTACTCATTGATTGGGTAAGATAATGTTAAACGGAAATCCCAACTAATCCCATGATTGGCATGTTGATCGCAGTTTTTTCGCCTTGCCCACTTGATAGCAGTTTGCATGTAAGCACTTTTAAGCGCAATTCGTATTCCATATTATTTCTAATTCATTGAGTTGCTTAAGGTGAACATAGCACAAGTGCTATGGTCAATCGCGAAATATTGGAGACTCGCAACAATTGGTAGTAATCCCGTGTAGGCGTAAACTTAGGCGGTAGCGAAGTAGTCAAATAGGTACTCATATTATATGTTAACCATGATTCTTTATTCGACTGTTTTATTTATTAAGCGCAACTCATCAATGTGCTCCGGTGTGGTCCGTCGAGCTACTTTAACCGCCCACAAACGTTCCACGCGCGAGATATTGGTCCGCGGGCGGTTAGCGGCCGCCCCGCCCGCGCCCGCCCACCGCTGGGCGCCCGCCGCCTCCGCCGCGCCCGCCCGCTGTGACCACTGCCAGGATCTGCTCTGGGGACCCCTCAAGGTGATACATTGCGACCCATACTATATACACAGTATATTGGTCCGCGGGTGGTTAGCGGCCGCCCCGCCCGCCCCGCCCACCGCTGGGCACCCGCCGCCCCCGCCTCGCCTGCCCGCTGCGACCACTGCCAGGATCTGCTGGGGGGACCCTCAAGGTGATACATTGCGACCTATACTATATATACACAGTATATTGGTCCGCGGGTGGTTAGCGGCCGCCCCGCCCGCCCCGCCCACCGCTGGGCGCCCGCCGCCTCCGCCGCGCCCGCCCGCTGCGACCACTGCCAGGATCTGCTGTGGGGACCCTCAAGGTGATGCATTGCGACCCATACTATATACACAGTATATTGGTCCGCGGGTGGTTAGCGGCCGCCCCGCCCGCCCCCGCCCACCGCTGGGTGCCCGCCGCCTCCGCCGCGCCCGCCCGCTGCGACCACTGCCAGGATCTGCTCTGGGGACCCCTCAAGGTGATACATTGCGACCCATACTATATACACAGTATATTGGTCCGCGGGTGGTTAGCGGCCGCCCCGCCCGCCCCACCCACCGCTGGGCGCCCGCCGCCTCCGCCGCGCCCGCCCGCTGCGACCACTGCCAGGATCTGCTCTGGGGACCCCTCAAGGTGATACATTGCGACCCATACTATATACACAGTATATTGGTCCGCGGGCGGTTAGCGGCCGCCCCGCCCGCGCCCGCCCACCGTTGGGCGCCCGCCGCCTCCGCCGCGCACGCCCGCTGCGACCACTGCCAGGATCTGCTCTGGTGACCCCTCAAGGTGATACATTGCGACCCATACTACATACACAGTATATTGGTCTGCGAGCGGTTAGCTGATTGGTTAATTATTTTTATTAGAATTTTTTGCTGCTTTATTGTGATTGTCACGTCGCAAAACGAATTTAACGGCACATGAGGATTTTCATAAGAGCTATATCAAGCATTTCTCAGTATGGATATCTTACAATAACCCCAATGAGTTGTATTTGTTTCTAGTAGGTACATTAGTTTTCAGTTGGCTAAATAAATAAAAGTTTCACAATCAAAATTCTTACTGAATATCAAATTAATTGTATTTAGACTAAAAACTCGATATACTCCACCCGATTTTCAATTTAAAGTTTGTGCATCAAATCGATGTATAATTTTCATATTTGTAAACAATATATTCATTATGTTAATTCTTTTCAGTCCGGTGTAAGATGTATGGATTGCGGTGCAGCATGCCACGAGAGATGCGTGGAAACGTTCGCTCTATCGTGCACCAAGTATAAGGCGCCTCCCGCGCAAGACCGCGAGCCAATGAGGCCGGCCACGGGGAACAGTGAGTCACTTTACTCTATTCAACATCCACTGTGACAAAAATGAATAAATATTTTCAACTTTAACTACAATTAGCCTAACCCCAAACACTGTAGGCTTGTGTTTTGGGATACTAGGATAACGGATAGAGTACATATACTGATACATATATAATAAATATTTATATAGAAATACATATTAAACATCCATCACTGGAGTATAAATGCTCGTATTTAATACAAAAACATCTGCCCACACCAGGATACGAATTCGGGATCTTTCGAATAGGCGACACCTTGAAACTTAAACCTCCGTGACTGAGTGGTTTGTACGCCGTTGAAACCCGGCGAAAAATAAGACATTTCTTATAATTTGTTTGTTTCTTCATGTTTGGCGGATCCACTTATAGCGAAAGTTCATCCAATGCGAAAATCTTCTTCCATTTTCGTGTGGATGCCTCGGAACGTAATCCAAAACTGAGAGCCGATGTTTTAAAATGAGAAAATAAACATTTTTTAACACTACTATGTGTTAGAATATGTTTATCAACATTTTTGAACAGCAGTGTAGGAGGAGACTGACTCCATTAGGCGACAGATACATATTTTAACAAAGTCTTGGTGCTAACAACTTGTTCGTCCGCAGGTGTGTCTACGCTACAGTCTTCTTCTCAACAGTACTACGAGCAGTTTTCTTCAAACGTAGCCGAGAATCGAACCCACGAGGGGCATCTGTACAAGCGAGGTGCTCTACTCAAAGGGTGGAAGCAACGGTAAACTATACCTCAGACCTGATATTTACTGAGTTTTATGTTTTTTTAAGTAAAGATCTCCTTTTCGGATGGGGTGTAAATGGAAAAAAACTATGGAAAAGGTGAAACAGAAATGCGTCACGAGTGTCACACGATTATATACACCGAATTACCCTTCAACTTTTAGGCTCGTCGGGAAGAGCTGCCCACGCATTCCACACACACATATGTATACAGGGTTAATTTTAAAACATCAACAAACTCTTAGTGGGTGATTCTACCCAGGAACAACTTTTATTATGGGACCAACTCAGAAAACGCGAAAAAAATCAGCTGTTTCTTATATTTCGGTCGATTAGCTGATGCACTTTTGTATGAAACAGCAGATTTATTTTGTCCCATAATAAAAGTGGTTCCTGTTGATGGGTAGAATCACCCCCCACCCAATCAATCATAAGAGGTTGTTGGTGTTTTATAATTAACCCTGTAAACATACGTGTGTGTGTGAAATGCGTGCGCAGCTCTTCCCTACGAGCATGAAGAAGTTGGAGGGTAACTCGGCGAAGGCTGAAACGCGACGAACGTCACTAGCGTCACACATATATACGTGATGCGTGCGCTGCTCCGTTCCCATATAAGGCATAGCCTTATGCACCGCCTAATGTTAGGTTATTTAAGAAAAAAAGAAGTTTCACTTCAGATGTGTGGTCCGGGCACACATTTTTTTTAAGGGTGGAATACAAGCACATGGCCCATTTGATGGTAAGCGGCACCATAGCCTATAGACACCTGCGATATCTAAAATATCACTTGCGCTGTTGCCTCCTGGCCTGGGGCACAGGCCTTCCATATTGATGGAATAGGGAGATTGGGCCATGACCCACCACACGGGCCCAGTGTGGATTGGTGGGTGCTAACGACGGCAGATGCAGCCGGGACCAACGGCTTAACGTGCCTTCCGAAGCACGGAGGAACTCGACATAGAAGATTTTTGGTCATCCATCCAATGACCGACCACTGCGAAAGTTGCTTAACTTCAACGATCGCAGCCGAGTGCGCTAACCACCTACGCCATCGAGCGCTGTTGCCTACCCTGGCCCAATCCTCTACACCGTGGTGCCCTGGAACCTTACCCACTGACAGAAACACAACACCACCAAAAGGTACTGTTATTGTACTGTGGTCTTCTGTAAGGTAGAGGTTACTTCCCCCGGTGGGCGCTCCAATAAGAGCGGCTATCCCTACCTCTCTAAAGTACGTGATTTCTAGTTGGATAAATAAAGACATGACATTACTTTGGCAAGAATTAAATTGAATTCTTATCCCTGAATATCGTCGTAAATGGCCAGATTACGCCATGCTTGAAATAAAAAGGAACGCTAATTGAAGAGAGGTTGGGGCCACCTTACAGAAGACTACAGTAAAGAAAAAACGAGCGAGCCTTACAGTAGTCGCGTATGATGTGTAACATTTCAAACCTTACCTTATATTAGTAAAAATAAAAGGAAATAAAACCTACTACTTGAACATTATGTTCGAAAATCAAATCAATTAGCGCGCGCTATCGCCACTTCCTGTTACACACTTCTGACCCATTTCACGAAATCACTCCCACAAATTGCAGGAAAGCGAGAGGAAAGATGTTACCCATCAATAACACTACCTTGTGTTTCTGACAATGAATAAGGCTCCAGGACTTCACGGGGTAGGGGATTGGATCAGTGTAGGCAACGGTGCGAATGATATTTTTGGTATCGCAAGCGTCTACAGGCTATGGTGGCTGTTAATGGTAAATAAGTGTTAATGGTATGATGATTAATCTTTATGGCGTATGGCCCGTCTGATGGCAGTCGGGCCATACGCTTGTTTACCCTTTTAACTTAAATAAAAAACAATCGAATCAATTAAAATTCTGTTTTCATAGAAAAGTAAGAACTTTTGCCCCCTTATTAATAAACAGGGAATAAGCTTTGAGTAGTTACACCGTGTTTTCACCATGTGACTGAAATGCCATTTGTCATTCTGCGAACAGAGACAAAGCATAGAGTAGCTAATCCAAGTTTATTCATCGTTTTTTAATAGGGAGGTTGATGTTTCAAGACTTTAATACAAAATGAACACTTAAGATGATTTTGTTTTTTTTTTATTCAAACACTAAGTATCTAAAAGATTTGCATTTGTTAAAACGTAGTTTTTTTATTGAAATTAAATAGTGCGCTATTTTTTTGTTCCGTCAGTTGGTTCGTGTTGGACTCCATCAAACATCAGCTACGATATTACGACGCCATGGAGGATTCTCATTGCAAAGGATTTATTGGTGAGTGAACATTGCAATCTTCCCTTTCACAAAACTTTGACTTAAGTAAAACCCGTCCTAAAAGTTATACTGTCACGTTTGTGAGTGTAAAAGTAATACTGTCACGTTTGTAAATGTAAAAGTTATACTGTCACGTTTGTTAGTGTAAAAGTTATACTGTCACGTTTGTAAATGTAATAGTTATACTGTCACGTTTATTAGTGTAAAAGTTATACTGTCACGTTTGTAAATGTAAAAGTTATACTGTCACGTTTATTAGTGTAAAAGTTATACTGTCACGTTTGTAAATGTAAAAGTTTTACTGTCACGTTTGTTAGTGTAAGAGTTATACTGTCACGTTTGTTAGTGTAAAGGTTATACTGTCACGTTTGTTAGTGTAAAAGTTATACTGTCACGTTTGTTAGTGTAAAAGTTATACTGTCACGTTTGATAAGTGTAAAAGAAGGCAGCCAGCACTTAGGAGTCGATCGTGTTAGCGCACTAGCTTATATTGCAAGCGAATATAAGTGGACGCCTGGCATCTGTCTGTGAGACACTTAAGCTGAAATTAGACAGTTTATTAAACTTTCGTTTTCGATGCTTCAACAATGAAAAACCGGAAATGAATGTCTAAATTGACGTTCATCGAAATGTGCTTTCGCGATGAAAGCATCCGGTTCCCGATTGTTTTCACTAAAATTGCTCATGCATCTGTCATCATTCAGATCAGATCATCAGTCTAAACAGCGACAGGTTCCTTACAGTTTATATCTTTCAATGTGCCGGTATTTATTCTTTAATTAAATAACACAAAACAGATGATGTTCACACGGGAATATCACAGGGAATAGAATATTAGTTTCCCCAAAAGTGATACGTCTCTACAAACAATGCATTTCACTGTTCCTAATACACAAATCTTTGCAACAATGAATCGCTTTTGATGAACAGTCTAACTTCGCTAGTCTATTTTTTCTAATAAAGCGGTTATGAGGTCTGCAGGTTCTACTACAGAATCTAAGCTCGTCATTTAATATTTATAAGACCTTAATGCAATTAGATACAAGGTTGAAAATTGGAGCATTCATATGACGCACTTTGGCCGATTTTGCGTTCATGCATTTAAGACATGTATGGTGCCGTATCGGTGTGATATCTTTCTATCATTTTTATCATAGAGCACCATTTTTTTTACTCTTTCCATTAAATTATTCCACTCCACAGGTGGAGTGGAACATCAGGATGTTAAGTGTGGTGTGACCAACCCTGCAATAGATTTCGCACGAAGCTGTGTATGTATACTAAAGTGTTGCTTATCACTATAGCAATAAGGTCGCATTTCAGATCTCGCCGAAGTGATAACTGTGACGCAAGCGCCGGCCGCGCCCGGCCCGCCGAAGAAATGCGACGACAGATCCTTCTTTGACGTGAGTTTACAGACTAAAATAATATGAGGAGCTGGCGAACAAAACGGTATAATAAAATAAAATAAAATTTTACGGGAACTGTATAAAACTGAATGACATACCTCTAGTGAGCTTTTGGGATGGTTTTTAAATTAATAAATTTAGTAATTTTAACACTGTTTTAGGCGGTCTTGATTGAAAATTATTTGATTTGATTCAAATTCAACGGACCCGTAACCTCCGACTGTAAAAAAAAGTAGTTTGACCCGATGCATAATATACCGTATACCGTTTTGTTCGCCAGCTCCCCATATATCTTATAGCTTTTGTATGCTTAATTTAGGTATACGTCTGGTTTTTAATTGTGATTAAAAGAAATAATACCAATTTTTATCAATTGGGACAAAGAGATATTTCATATTTGTTAGAATAGTACTCTGTTCTAAATTCGTATTTGAACAGAGTACCTTTTCATTTCCTATAATGCCGGCACTTCACTTGAACATTCGTTTTTGCTATTTGTCTTGGCTACTTCACATGAGTCTGTCCTTTTCATTCCATATAAAGCATGAGTTTGAGTCCCGTCTGCCTGGTCCTCGTGGATTTTTTTTCTAGTAAAATTTTCTTTAGATTTAATCATCTTGCAGTGAAATAGTTAAAAAATAAAAATTAACTTTAACTTAATAAATATAATAATTATAACGTGTTTGTTATAGTTACGAACCAGCCGACGCACGTACAATTTCTGTGCGAGTGACGCGGCCGCTGCGCAAGAGTGGATAGAGAAACTGCAAGCTTGTCTTCAGTGAACAGAAATAGACCTTGCCACCTTCGCTTTTCAGCTCATTTTCGCAAATCAGACTATTCAATTCGTCAAGAAATCACATTGCGTTTATAAAGCCCCATCTTATGTGAGTAACCAACTACGACGCTACTTTTTTTTTCAAATATTACTAAAAGCCATCCATATGCTTAATAGAATTGTTTTAGACTGATTTTAATGCGCTTTTATATCTACTGTAACCAATTATTCGTTCAGTTGAAATTTGTAAATTTATACTTGTGTAAAGATCTGATGTTACGTTTTCTTCTTTGAATCGGTCGATGAGACTTCAAATATGGTAAAATTTCCTTTGTACGCTTTAATAACTTTATCAAGTATACTTAAGCAAGTCCTATGTTTTGTTTTAATGTGGGTTTCGTGGAAAAAAAACACAAATTATCACGAAATATGACTCTTTAGAAGTACGAAACTTATAAGTTTTGTTTTGAAAAATTGTTGTGCTATTAGTATGAACAGATTTTAACAAACAGTTTCTAAACACTCATCAACGTGTCATACTCATACGACTCCGATCTCGACTCGACATAACCTGCGCTAGTGTCGCGAACGCAGTTATTTATACTTTAGACTTAATAATAATTATTATTGTCGACAAAATAGAATTAGAAATGATATTGTTACGTTGGGTATTTGTAAATATTTTATCTTATTATTGTTGTGTAAAGTATTATGTTCTATTTCATGTGTATTTACAAGTGGACGACTCCGGAATGATGGAAATTGAAGTGTTTTAGTTATTGTCACGCTACTTTCCTCATTTCGATATCGGACTGTGAAAATGTTAAACATTTTTGTATGATATTGTTCTTTGAGTATTTGTATTGTTTATGTAACGCAATGAGGCACACAACATTTGGGAATCTTGTTAGGAACTTTTGTCGCAGGCTGTTTTAGATGTTGACAAAGAATTCCATATTGTAGTTAAGTTAATATTCTCTTTTTCTTAACTTTCAATGCACTGGAATGCTTATTAGATTTTGCATTTTTTTCCGCTGCTGCGATAACGGTATGAAATTTTTGGTATCTTAAAGTGAATAAATAACGTATAAATTGCAGCTAGGTACTTATTAATATAATTTAATCTTTCGAAAGAGAAATTCATTGAATTGATGTATATTTAATTTACAGCTGATTTATTAAAATAATTATAAAACATTCTAATTTTAACAATAAAATTATAGTAATCAATTCCCATATTCTGTTCTTTTAACGTTAAAAAGTACACTGTCATATTTTTTTATTATATTCTCAACTTAAAATTTTTCTTGCATTCCAGGCATTGCGTGGTGACGTCAAATATCGTAATATTTATTTGTGTGTAGTTAAATAATAAAACATATGAGGAATTCGACATTTTTAAGTTAAACGTAATCACATTCCTTATATTTTTATTATAGATGCGTTTAGTTGGAAGTAACATGCGTTGGATTACTTATTTTTCAAAGATATTATTTTTGTACGCTACTGGAGCTGATACTCATTTATCGTTATATTTAATTAAAGTCGGCCCTGTATGTTTTGTAAATAGGTTACGTTACGTTATCACATATCAACGTCTTCACGCGGAGACCAATGTGTACATAGTTGAGGGAGGTAGCCTGCGCCGCCTTGTAATAGTTCCCAACACATTACGGTTAGATTTGTTTAGAAAATTCATTGCATTGTGGGTATAATTACTTTTAAAAAACGTAAACCAAAAAAAGAAACCTGTTTAGGAAAACTAGGTAGAGCTAACCTTTACTGTCATTGGCCAGATTGTATCGTTGTGTTTTTCCAGCCAATGGTAGCGCTCGTACTCGTGTGTGATAAAGAAAGCGCTCCACTAACTCGTTTTCGTAAACAGAGTATTGCTGTAATAGTAGATCCTAAAAATAGAAATAAGTAATATAAAATCACGCAGTCAAATTCAACTTTTCCCCCTAAGCAATACAACCTTCTTAGTATTCTGTGTCAAATCCATACTGCAGAAAATTTAGTTCCAGTTATTAAAGTGGATCATACTAAGGACTCGCTCCATCTAACCCACATAGTCCTATTTCGATAAATCTTTAAGATAATCCTTTCTTACTTCTTGAAGAGTTGATCGACAGACGTGTTTGGTCGACGTCTTACGCTTTCATTTACTATTAGAATTGATCAGAATAAATCTAACCGCGATGTGGGGGAAACGCAGCACAGTAGTTTTAGAGTGAGGCCAAACGTTAGTACTGTAAATAGAAAATACAAAATGTTAATCTTTTATGTACTATTATCATAAACATCTCATCGATGAGAGGGAATGATGAATTTGTAGCAGTCCTCAATTTTAGAGAAGAATGGCCGAAGAGTTCCAGTACACTTTAAGTATGATTCTCGTTTACCCTCACTCGTGATGGCAGCAGGCAGGCTTTCCACCCTATAGTGTTGAAACGGCGACGAGCCCAAGAGATTATTTGTGCCAAATATGCACACGGTGCACACTTACTCCATTGCTCACCTAATATTGACGAGCACACTAAATATAGAAATCGAAGTGATGTGTTTAGAGCTTGGGCGGATGCAGACGAGGCGATAATTGTTATGACTTTGAAGAATTATAAGATGTACCTTGGTATATCCAAAATTCATCATAGACTTACGTTTAATTGTAGTAGTTGGTGTACTACCACTTCGAAATGCAAAGCGCTTACGTTCGATTTTGACATTTTAGTCTCCTATTTATAATTCTGTTATCGGAAACAATTAGGCATCTCGCGTACTAAACGACCACGACCACGATCAATGTACGTCTAGTGCCCGAGATGCCTTATAGTATAAAATCTGGTAGCTCCAAAACATCTTCAAAGATGCACTAATTCAAGCCTTATTAGGAACAACAACACAAAGAAGATTGTTGTTACAAAATTTATTGGTGAAGACCTGTAATTGGTTTTGTATTGTTATTTAAGTTTTTATTATTTTGATTAATAGCTGTAGGGCTTCCAAAAAAAAAATAAAAAATTTTTTTTTTTTCGGTATGATTTTGAGAAGCGGATTAGTTCAACTTACACACACTTACACGAACATTTAATGATCACATCTCAAAACCTGAAACCTAAAATCTGCCTTTGTTGAAAGTATGATAATATTAAAATACATTTAAATTTTTACGTGTTTAAAGTTATGATAACAATGTAAAGCTTAAGTACTTTTCAACCTCAACAACGAATCATAGGAAATTCGCCGTTAATAACAATACTCGCCTCGCCTGAAATCACGCAGCTATAGCAATATTTCATTGATTTCGAAACAAGTGTTGTGCTTTTTAAGCTTCCAAAAATCGTTATCAAAGTGTCACTCATTAACAGACACTAACGAATGGTATCAAATTAAATTAGTGTAAGCTCGCTTCGCCGAACAAAATGAATGATGTTAACTGTGATGTCTATTGCTGTACGCAATGTCTCGAACCCTAGTGTATTTTAGTGCAATAATATTGAACGTGGCTAGTGTTGTAACCTGAATTGTAGTGTCACAATATCATATACTAATGTACAGCGGTAGGGCAAGCCGTTACCCGTGTAACTTTGCACTGCGTACCATCAAATAAACAGATCGACTTTTAAATAATACTTTGTTTTATTTGCATCTTCTTGTTCCTCTTGTCGTTTTCTAGCAGAATTTGTTATCATCACTGATCTCTATACTATATAATAATTACAGACGTTATTATGAAATAAATAAAATAAATATACTTCCAGACACATGTATCGGCCCACCTACACTATCATTTTAATATTTGACAGTTCCCATCTAAAAATTAATGTTACATGATCAAAAAACTTTTACTCAGTGTGAAGCTGATTTACTAACCAACTCTTTCTTTATTTTAATAAAAAAAATTTATTGCAGCCTATATTTTTGCTACAGATCGTTGAAACTTATCACTAAGTGGGCCGATGTGTCCGGAAGTATATTGCTCTAACACTCACCAATTAGCTTGGCCCCAAAGTATCACTGCACTGTAAGGTTTTAATATGGGATACTATGGTAATGTATGGTATGGTAATACTGAAACTTATAAAAGTAAATTATTTTATCTAGAAAAACATATAAACATTCATGACTTAGGAACAAATGCTCGTATTCATCATACCCCCATGAAACCCCGGAACATCTCGCGTCATGGAGGTGTTAATTGAAAAAGTTATAACTTTTATAGTTCAACTGCTCGGAAAGTACTTTTTTCTTATAGCAATTTTTGTTATTTACGGGATTGTTATCATGGCCATTGTTTTTAGCGAGTTTCTGATATTTCGGCACCGTTGCAAACGCCATGATCATGGAGTAACTAAATTTTCAGTTACTCCGTGATCACGGAATGACGATCATGAATGCTTTTATTCTTGTTTTAAAAATGAAGCAGAAAAGACCACATTACTGTTCTACTACTTGGCGGGCTTGGAAGTGTATGGAAATTCATTTTTAACGCCCTGTTCGGGCAGAAAAGTCTAATTGAAATCAATTGTTAACGTTTTTTAATTAATGTTCCGAAAAGCAAGTGGTCAGTATGACTGCGATTTATTTTTATTTGCTTTATGAACATTAATTTTTAAAAGAACAAAAAAAAGGCGCTCTGATTATAATAACTGGGTTTTTAATGTTTTCACACACCGCCTGAATTAAAAGAAACTACCTAAGCAGTCATTGAGAACCTGTGACATCAAAAAACCAATATAAGGCTGCCAGGCAAAATTTTAGTAACTGTAACAACTTTAATATATATTTCAATTGGAGAACTTGTTTTTTAATTCCTCGTAGGTATAGTAGCACAATGTATATCCCTCGAAAGAAAGTGCTTATCTCAACTTGGGCTTTGGCTGCGCCTTGGGCCTCAAACAAAACCCACGTTGGTAATTAATTGGTCACTTTCTCATCGCAGTGAAGAATGTACTATTAACCATCTGTTTTGTCTGCATGCAGGCGATACTGGGAGTGAAGAAAAAAGGTATCAAGCAAGTGATTTTCCCAGTCAGCAATCCTACTATTCCATCCTGTTAATATTTTAAATTTATATAAAACTATGTGTTTGTTTGTTACTCAATCAAGTAAAACGGCTGAAATTTGGATGAAATTTGGCACAAACATAATTTATTACCGAGAGGTAGGATATTTTGTATCCCGGACAAATGTTAGTTTCCCGTGGGGATTCTCAAAAACCTAAAGTTAACGCGAGCGATGTCGCGGGCGGGAGTGGTTATTAAATAAAATCAGACATCATATGTAACAATTTTTATTTTACCAATATTAATAATATATTAACATATGTGGTCCAAAACCACCCTCTCTCTGATAATAATATAATACAAAGAATTTTCACAGAGGTATATGAACCCATAACAAAGAAAACAAGGGATACTACGGCTAAAACCCTGTCCGGTACTGCTCTGAAGTAGGACGCGTTTCTTTATACACTGCCCGTTAATAAAGAGCCGGTTTACACATACCTACGTGCTATATTTGCAGCACTGAACATGAATCGCGTCTCAAATTTCGTACGTAACGCTTATTCTGGACAAGTTCTAATGAACTGCGGACTATAAAGTCGCGGGTCAGGGGTTAAAACGACTCCCACGTGTCTACTACACAACTACAACAATATTTAAAACAAGGTATAAAATAGAAGAAGAAAAAGGTAAACATTCTCATAATATATTATTATTATTACAATTATCTAGCCTAAAACAACGTGCGGGCGCCAATATCGCGACGCTGCTGCTCAAAGTCTCACCAGTAGTTACAATTTACAAAGAAATCGCTTTTATTTCGTAGCAATAAGGGACATATTCGCGGTTCAAGAGTTGGGTGTACAGTCGCGCACTCGGCGCCCTCACGTTGCGCACTCGCATCACTTCACTGCTGAATTATACATTATATACAACGACAAATAATAAATATTCTATAATGCACGACGAGAATACGCAATCGTGTATGTACACAAAACGACACCTACAGTAGTGCGGCGGCGGCGCCACGATATCACAAATGTATGCCATACGACTGTGGTCATTATTGGCGTTTACTATTTGGCTTCGCTAGTTGCTCACGAGCTCATGCGTTCGCTCGCTAAGTCTAGTTCCGTCTATAAAAGTTCGCGTGTATCGCGGCACATTAAAACCTCCTTGTAATGTAAACGTCACTAAAAATTAGGAATAAACATTTTTGGTTACCACATCATCGTACACTAAAAACAAATACATCAAAAAATATCCGAAAGCTGCTCACCTTTCTACACAATCTCTTAACGCTACGCTACGCAGTCTGCGGGAGACTTGTGTTCGTTCGTTTATATAAGTAGTAGTATTTTCTTCATACATTAGATTACCTAACATACAAAAATTTGGTTCCAAATATTTAAAAAAATGCGGTTTCGGGAAACTTCAAAGAAGTTTAAAAATCTTCGAAAAGAGAATGGCTTTCATTCGATGTGTATGATTGGAGAAGTATGTAGATTAAAATGTTTATGTTAATTCCGATACTGATCACTAAAATAATTTATTTATAATGTGTACCTAGAACATCACTGCAATAAAATAATGACTACTCGGTGACTCGCACTTATAAAACAAACTATTTTTAAAGGGAATCTATCAATAGCTCGGCACACGATTAGCAATGCCACGACAAATAATTTAATTATTGCATAGTTACCGTAAATATTATTGTATTCAAAGATTATCAAAACAAACACAATGGATACAAATTACGTGGTACTTAGCCTTTCGAGAGTTTCTAGTTTCACATTCATCTTTTAAGATGTAATGGTCATTATTAATAAATAGCCTTATAATAACAGTACATCCCTTAAAAAACGTTTCACAATCATTTGATTTGTCTTATACAGAATTAAAAATGGTAACAAAATCAATTACTATAATTCGTGTCATTGAAGAAAGGACTCGCAAATGGCGACGTAAGACTTTCTATGCCACTCGCACGTACTATCCTCAGTAACGTACGAAAGAGGCAGAACGTCTTGCGTCGGCATTTCCGATTCCTTTCTTGAATGACACGAGTTATACAAACCTGATATTAGGCACATACAACATGAAATCACTGAGATTTTATTAACTCGGAAAAAATATAAATTCAATTTTCTGATATAGTAAAACCAAAATATAATTCCACTAGTGTATGGTTTCAAACACCGAAAGTAGTGCTTTTTCTTGAGAATAAAAGATAATAATATAATTTAATTTAATTAATTTTGATCTTATGCACAGTAGATTTGCAAATAGCAATTCAAACTACATTCTAGTTTATCTTAACGATATCGTTCATTATGGAATGAAGCACAGTTTATTTCAAATAGCTATTCTTTCTCAATCGATGCAAATTTTCATATCACTAGTGACATTATATTATCACAATATCCAACATGAACTTGAAAGAAAATAATAAAACAACATTTCTAATTGTAATTTTTCTTTAAAAATTTATAAAACTTTAGGCCATTCAAATACAATAATACAGCAAATGTTTAAGTAAGATGCAACTGACACTCGTGGCAATTGTTATTATTTTATGAACACAAAATAGAAAAATACAGAAGACTTTCTTTAGTAGTTACTTACACTTAAATGGTTTTTTCGACTCACATTTTGGTACTGGCAACACTACCATTATGAGTTCGCGTGTATAGATAGAGCGGCAAACATTTTGGATAAACCATAGATAACCAAACTTGCGCAGAAGACGTTTATGTAAACTATTTATACCTACCGTATATTATATAACTAAGGTCTAATTCCTTGACTGAAATGACAATCTTATTATTTTGGTAGGGACCAAATTCGTAGGTAATATCATGTTTATTTTTTTACAAATTATCTCACTATTTGTCTATAGCTTATGCTCAAGATGTTTGCCATGGGTGTATAGTATACTTAATGGCGATTTTCTGTTTTCTGTACTTTTTTCTATTTTATGATTCGTGGCGTGGGGTAGTGGGGTACCGGGTGTGGTTTTGGGGGGCTAATGGCCCACGGGCTCGACGTAGTTCGCAGGGTAGAGGCCCACGCGGCCGTCCTTCCGACCTTTACACCAGCCTTGCTCGTCTTCGTCCTCTAGTTTCTCGAATAGATCACCTGGAAAATAATTTTGGTATGGAACACTTTGAATGAAATGAAACTAAATAAAGTATAGAGGTTGTGAAATTAAACTAAATAAGGTGCGAGAAGTTCGATGGCGCAAGTAGTTGCGCGTTAAGCCTGCGATCGTAAAAGTTAAGCAACTTCCGCAATGGTCGGTCATTGGGTGGGTGACCAAAAACTTATTATCTCGAGCTTCTACGGAATGCACGTTAAGCCGTTGGTCCCGGCTGCATCTGCAATTGTTTGCACCCACCAACAGTTTTACTTGGGGGGTCACGCCCCAGTATTCGTATTCCATGTATAGGGAAGGCCTGTGCCCTTGCAGTGGGGGCATTAATAGACCTATAATGATGATACATACCTTGTCTGAAGCTCAGCTCGTCGCTCTCGGCCCCAGTATAGTCATATAAGGCCCGTACAGGTACGCCGGGCTCGCCTGTGTCCGTAAGAGCACCACCCGATTCTTCATCCCATTCATCCTCCTCGAAGGGGTTATCCTGTTTACCCCCCTCTTTTGCAGGGGACGTTTTATTCGATTTAGGCGCTGATGCAGTGCCGTTCCTGTGAAATGTGTATTTTGTAATCATCAGTTTACACAAAATGGTCTGGAGAAATGTAAGTACATACATTTTTATAATGAATTTTTGACAACGCCATCTGTTAACGTCTTTCTTCAGAGAAATGCACATTCATTTTATCAATGTTGTTATGACAGCGCCATCTGTTGACACCCTTGTTAAAATAAGGCTTATCATTAGATTGGTGTTTAAAAATTGATAATCATAAATTCTTGATTTTTGTTGGTGATTTAAAAGCGATTTTAGCTATGTCTACTCTCTAAGAGGTACTCCACAAAAGCCTGTTTGGTAGGTAAACGCTAATTTTCCACATGTGGCTATGTGCATTAGAAAACCTTTGCCTCAATAATGTGGATCAACTGCAGGCTAAGCTTATCTCTTAAGCGCTCCCGAAATATCATATTATGGTGTCTGAACAGAACGCCGACACTTGACTAGTCTGTTCTTATCATGCTTTGTAAGGAATGAAAAGGACAGACTGATATCAAGTACAATCTACCGCTAAGAGACGGACGAACAGCTGTGCTTGGGCCTCAGACTATTATCGTTTTGACTGTATACAAATATATACAAAATATTTTATTCTACTTAAAGAGCAAAGAATATGAGAGGACAATACAACCCTATTATTAAACCGTTAACCACAGCTGTTCATCCATCTTTAAGCGGTAGATAATTGAATTTATTGATTGGTTATTGAAAAGTCATATTTAAATTTGTATTAAAAGGGTAGATCGCCTTTCATGAAAAGTTGCCATTAATATTCGCAAAATTGACAACCTTTGCAATTAGCTGTTCGTCCATATTTTAGCGGTAGATAGTTGAATTCATTGATTGTGCCGAGTCGGGGCGCAGCAATAGTCTCAGCAGATTGCCCAGCGTATTGCTTCGACCGCGTTGTGTGTAAGTTACTCTGCTATGACGCCCTAGAATGATTTTGTTTAGACTAACAGCAGGATTTGGTCGGTCATGTCGGTGACAGTGTATCGGTCGCCGTCGGGACGCAGTGCTAGTTTCAACAGATGGTTGCCCAGCGAATCGCCGCGGCCTCGCTGAATGCATGTGGTCGCACACGCATATATCTCCAAACGCTCTATGCTATGACGCCCAAGCGAGAGAAAGAAAAGATTAGGTAGGGTTTTAGGATTTAGGAGTATGTAAGGAACTTAAATAGTCAAGGATTTTATAATGGATTGAGCAGTTTTAAAGACCGGAAATTAGTTAGTTTATGTCTTATAAACAAAGCGAACACTCACCAATGACAAATGAAGTGTTATAATAGACTTAATAAGAAACTACTATGAACGGTTTATTTATAAGAGACCCTACTCCGATGTTAAGTGTATGTGGAGTCCACTGAAGATAGATAATGCGGCAGAAAGTATGGCAGCTATCCTCACCTTGAAAGTATTGTATAAGATACATTTGGAGTACAGGCAGTTCTCGTACTTACGGCATGTTAGGTTCTCGAAATACGCGACGTAAAACGAAACGACGTAAGTCGAGACATCCCCACGGACATTGACCTCGCGACAAGTGAATTATCCTATGCCGGAAATCAAAACAATTGACGTATGATTTTATTTATTTTTTAAGCATTTAACTGCTAGATGTTTAAATCTAAAGAAAAGTTTACTAGAAAAAAAAATCCACGCGGACCAGGCAGCGGACGGGACTCGAACCCTGCGAAGAGAGAAGAGATGGCGCTGCCTTGCAGCTTAAAGCTAGGAAAATTGCGACACGGCTAATACGCGGCCGTGGTAGGATAATGGTCAGTGCATTCGCCCGGATAGCGAAGGATGCGGGTTCGCGTCCCGTCCGCTGCCTGGTCCGCGTGGATTTTTTTCTAGTAAACTTTTCTTTAGATTTAATTGACGTATGCTTGAGGAATAGTGCCAAAACATTGTTTGACGTAACTTGAAACGACGTAAGTCGAGGACTGCCTGTATTTAAGGAGCCTGCCTGTATTCAAGTATTGAAGGAACTAAAATATTAAAGGTTTATGATGGATATAGCAGTTTCATATCTAATAATCTAAGGTTAACGAACGCCAAATGTCGTATTATAGTAGACTGGTCTAAAGACTTCTATTTATATATAGTAGGTATGTGTAATTTATATCGTTTTCCAGTTTCCAGACAGTTTTTAAGGATTAAGATGGACAGGTACTTCGGAAAGGTTTTTTATTATTGATTGTACTGGCGTGAACGAATCAATTCTAACGACTGCTTAAACAAAAGGCAAACGTTACTGACTGATCTATCAACCCAAAGCTTAAATTAATGAACGGATCGCGCTAGAATTTGGCACACATATAGCTAAAAATAAATAAATTATGATGTAAGTGTATCTTAAAAAAGGATTTTCACGTCCATTGTGGAGTAAAATAGGAATTCAAAAAAAGTTTGTATGGGAAACAAATATTTCCAGGCAGACGGAGTCGCGAGCCCCCACTAATTACTATATAAAATTAGAAAATTCTGAAAACAATTAAAATTTCTAACTATAGATTTAAACAGTTTTGTTTATTTCCAGAAATAGATTCGAAAACTCACGTGACTGCGATGGGAGCGCTGATGCTTTTCTTGTCTATGGTGTTGTTTGCTGTAGAGTTCTTGTCGTTGCTCGTGTTATTGGCGATGGGTGCGGGCGGAGGGGGCTCCGCATGGTTCGAGCCCTTGTTCGCTTTGTTGTTGCTAATTGGCGGCAACTCCTGCCCATAGACAAAGCATAGTTAACTTTTAAACTTAACAGGCAAGGGATTATTTATTAAGGCCGCGTTGTTTCATCGAAAATAAAATTTTACTTTAGTTAAATCCTATAGAAAACTAGTAACTATTTGTCAAAATTTGACACATTTACTATGTTATAATTTTTATTATTTTTAAAGCATGTAACTGCTTGAATATTTTCTTTAGATTTAAACATTTACTATGTATTTGACGTGGCATTACGTCAAATTTAACTATCCATGCAACATCGCGGCTTGAGGGATTATACGATTAAATAAATAACAGTATAAAAGATAATTTTAAATTATGAGTTTAATACTTTTGTAATTTGGATATACATAAAAATAAATAAAGTACTCATTAATATATCGTTTTAAAATACTAATAGGTAATAATAATATAGTAACTTAGTAATGTTAATCATGCGTTATGCATTGTCGAAGCGATTACATCCATGCAACATCGACACAATAAAAAATAAATAAAAAAATATAAAAAAGCGCAAAATAAAGGTTTAGATTGAAATGAGAATGACCATAGTCCCAAATTTCTACGGTTTCACCCCTCGTTTACACCAAGGTATAACACATGTTCATATCAAAAATAATATAATGTCTAATTTTTTGTTTACACTTATTTACATGTATAAAACATGTAGTATACAAAACTTGCATCAAACTTGTTGGATACACAAAATATGTGAAGTAAAAAGTGATTTAATCTTGTAAAGATAGTCGTTGTCTATGCAGTGTAAACGAAAAAATGTCGCAACAAGAATTCTTCAAGTTTTGTGTAAAACTAGTACTTATATGGCTTGTGTGTCTGTGTAAACGAGGGATTAGAAGGAATCGTACCAACCGCATGCCGTTTCTCTAAGTCTAATTGTTTTGCATTCTCATTTGAATCCCAGAAGGGCCTAACCACAGCATACAAGCGACATCTATCGAGAACATCCAGGTAATACTTACCGTGTGCTATGTTAGCACTGTATAGTGCGCTTAGACCCCTGATGATTAACGTTTTCTCACGAATCGTCAAGTTTTGTGTACTGGACAACATTAACGACACTTTCTATAAACTACAGAAGACCTTTCGAATTCTTATAATTATTGAACAAAGAGAAGAGTCAAAACTCTTCAAACAAAGAACTGTCTCTTGAGATGCCGTCACTTGTGTATTTGAGTTTTGGCATAATGTAAGCCACAGAAAATGCAACTCTAAATAAAGTACAATAAGACCTATGCGTTCGTTAATGTTGTGAATCTGCATCTTGCTCCACAGTCGGGTCTGCAGTAACTTTATTCTTAATACAATTGAATATTATTGGTGCCGAATACATGATCTACTTATTCGAAATTGTTGATGTTTGCTTTTGCTGAGCCGATTATGTGTGCTGGACGCATAAGGTTTCGGACGCAACAAACGAACAAACTGCGGCAATTTTTGTGTTGTAAAGTGATTGAGTGTATCGTGTGTATGAGCCTAGTGAGACCCAATGATTGAGTCAATTGAGTTCATAGTATAATTTGATCTAAGTACATTGCAAAATGCTTTTATTCAAGTGTGCCAGTGTTTTAATCAATCCAAAAATACACTAGAATGTGTCGCGTTTAATGAACTTTATTTAAGAGTTTAAACTTGAATTAAGTTTAAAACTTAATCAGTACTCGAATTGAGTGTGGAAATGAATTCAAGCCAGTTATGCGACAAAATAATGAAGTCAACCTTACTGCACAAACGGTTTGTATTAAAATACCATAAAGTTTCAGTCCTTTAAATAATACATATATAAATATATCACAAAAAAATATTGTTTCAAAAAGAAAACTCACAAGTTTTTAAACTTGGTCTACTATAATGTTTTTATCGCGGTTAATATCGTTCAATATGTTGTGTTGAGTATAAAAACAAAATATTTAAACCGTGTGTAGGACAGTGTATAAACCGCTTTCATCGCAAGGTGTTTTACTATCCTACAAAATATTTGACCCCCGTATGGTACGTTGTCCTAACATATGATGGCATATGCCGCAGAGCGTTCCCGTGTCGCGTCCGCATGACAGTGTTAAGGTCTTAACCCACTTATACGACTCTGCTCCAACACCGCTCCCACCCAACACCCTTAACTAACGCGATACAGCTAGCGAGCCAACAGATAAGTGCCAGCAAATTGCTTGGTAGTAATGCCAGAATGGCCTATTAGCAGTCAGCGGACACCGCGCAGACAGCTTGCTTGCAACGCGTGGTTAGCGAGGCGTCAACTGCAGCGTAGTCTAACGGCGGTTAGCTCACTGACAGAGAGCTGACTGCAAATTTATGTTGCTAATGTAAAGTATAACTAAGGAGCAATACTTAAATCCTATTTTTGAATTATATTATTTTTGCCGGGTAGGAGCGCAGCGGAGGCGTGTAAGTGGGCTAAGACCTTCATTGTAACGTACGTCCTCGCTGACGGGGCGCTGGTTGAGCAGCGTGATGGGCCCCGTGGGCAGGCTCTCCTTGGACTTGCCCTTGGCGATGTCCCGGAACTCCTCCGTGTACTCCTGCACGCGAACAAACACGCGCACAACGTCACACACAGCTAGGGTTACCAACTTTTTTTCTATCAAATATAGTATTTTCGAAGCTACCTCGTCCTACGTTACCTCTAAAAATATAGTAGATGCCAAAAAAATGGAAAAAAAATATAGTATTTGGTTACAATATTTACTTTATTTTTGAAATTAGTATATTTTTGCTGCTCTATACCTTAATTCTTCAATTTCAAGAAAGCTTTTATTAGTAGGATACTATATGATATAGTAGAGTTGGCAACCCTACACACAGCACTGCTGCGGTGCGCGCGAGACACGTTGGGACGGTTGTGTCGCGGTTATAACCGATCGCAGTTTCATTAGATCACTTTATATGTGATTACTATTGATGTTAACTGACTCGGGATACGAATAGGCAGCTAGATTAGCGATTTTATCATCAAAGCGAATTTATTTGAGATCTCTCAATATGTGATTTTTTCTAACGTAAACTTATTCAGAATAGAATTTAGTAGTGAGACATTGTAATTATAGATGAACTATTGTTAAAAATTTAAAAATAATAGTTCATAATAATACATTTGACATATTAGGTGATGAAATTGCAATAAAAATAATTAAAAATATTTACTACAATAGAAAAATAGTGTGATAAAAAGATAATCGACTCATCCATCAAATCATTGAAAAATATTGGATAAATTTAGTATTTTTTTTAGTTTATTGCCATAAAATTAAATTATGTTAAAACTCCGAATCAGTTCAAATTGAAGGTCCCAACGTATCGGCGCACGCGCATATGCAAACTCAAAATTACGAAAAAACAAATTAATTCAACAAAATGGTTCACATCCATCGAAAGCCATTGTATTAATGGGCGTGGTTCAGCTACACTGCACTGCTATTGACAATAAAACTGAAAGAACAGATTAAAGAGAGACATGCGATTAAAATTACGGAGAAGAAGTGGCTAATACTGCATGATTCCATAGTAAAGAGAGCCTACTAGAAGCTTTTCCACTATAATATTATATTCAGTTTGCTAAGGGAGTATTAAACATTAATTTGTAAATTAATGGTATAAAATAACCTTTCTTGAAATTTTATTATACTTTTTAACGGCCTGACAAGCAGATTTTTACCTTGTATATTTTTTTTAATTACTCAATCGACATTATTTAACCAATTCCCAGGGTGATCAAGAATAAAAAAAAAATGCAACCTGTGCTATTACAATAATATTTATGAAATTTGCTTCGACATATCCGTTTACTTTGTTACATCCAACTACCCACGCTTCAATGATGTTCCAGCTTTTGTAGTGTCATCACTTTCTGTTAGCCTCTGTTTAGAGATATAAAAAGCGATGGCGAGTGCCTCTGAACGTTGCTCCGATGAGATGAAGGGTGATTGTTGGTGATTGCGCTCAGTGGTTATTGCAACTATTTCACTAAAATGAACTCTATTTCCATCCATCACGATGTACTGTCGTGCCTCACCGAGAACCCCCGTGCATATCAATTATATTCTCTTTAATTCACCAGCATTTGTGATTGTGAATCAAAACTCTTCCGAAGAGTTTGCATGTCTTTTATACAGCTATTTATTGTGTAATTTCTGTTTGTGTGTGGTCAAATTGGCGACTCAGCTAGTAAATGCGGTGAGGATGATGCTTTTGTCGTAGTCATTGCTGGGTTTGTGCGATTTCAAGCGTGTATCGGAATGCTGAGTCACTCCGTTGAGATATATCTGCTTATGCGTAGGTAAATATTTTGCGTGAATGTTATTTAAAGGGATTGGAAAATTTGCATTAATATGTTATTAGGAAATTATAATATAATGAGGACAAGAACACCTTTCGTGTCTGTAATTTGATTGCCTATAACTTAAAGGGGTTTAAATTAGAATAACGTTACGGAGAGTATTGTAAATGATGGTTTGGAAATCGGCCAATGTTGTTGGTGGATAATCACTAAGATATTTGCCGGAAATGCCAGAGGACTAACACAGTTTTGGAAGAAAACAAAAAAAAAACATATCTTCATAATTTTGAATTCCTATGTTGAATCACAAAAGCAACTCTTACATTTCTTAGACTTCATTAATCCTATAAAAGATTACCATCTTCCCTAAAAACAACATCCACAAAACATTTCCCAACACATGCAACAGCGATATTCCAATCCGTTGACGCGATTTCAACGACCACGTGACCCGTTCCGTTCCGGTGACGCACTACCCACACCGGAAAGCGTACCATCTGCGGGTTGGCATAGAAGTGGCTGCAGCCGTAGTCGTATCGCTGGCTACCCGCGTCGGAAGGCGCGACCTTCCCGGCGCAGAGTGTGGGTAGAACGGAACGCAGCCGGCGCACGGCACGCAGCCACGCGCCGGGCCGGATGGCGCGGGTAGCTAGCGCCGCTGTCGCCGTCGCAACGCCAGACAGACGCGCCGGAAGATATTTGTAACGTGCGGGCGCCGGATCGTCGGCGGTTACGTCCACGTCCTTTTGATTTGAACACACAGCAGTACAGCTACCGTACTTTAATTTTTAATTTAATGTGCTTTACTTCTGGATGTTTCTGTGCTGTATATGTTCATAGTGAAAATCTGATGTTTTTATGGTAAAAAAAATCTTTCATTCGTGTACATGATGACCATAAAAAATATCGGTGATTATGCCTTAGTTCTTGTTAGTTTTCGATATTGTGATGTATAACTATAACTGATCCGGGCCGGTCGGCGCGGGCAGCTTGCGTCACTGTAGCCGTCGCAGCGCCGGATAGACGCGCCGGTAGATATTTGTAAAGTGTGGGCGCCGGATCGTCGGTGGTTAAGTCCTTTTTTTATAGCTAGGTAGGCAAATGACTCTACCCCACCTGATGTTAAGTGGTGATAAAGTCCAAACGCGAAGATAGCTGGTACAGCAGTTATAAACTGCTACACCAACCATCCTTACCTTGCCGGCCTGCAAAAATGCTTCTTCACGCCTCTCTTAGAGGACCCCATATTATAGGAAGGTGGGAACACGTGCGCGGGTAAAGAATTCCATTTGAATTTCCTTTCGATTTGAACACAGCAGCTACCGTACTGTGATTTAACACTCGTTTAATGTGCTTTACTTTTGGATGTTTCTGTGCTGTCTGTGTTCATAATGAAATTCTGATGTTTTTAAGGTGAAATAATCATTGATTTAAAGTCGAATGATCCTTTTATTAGTGTACATGATGACGATAAAAAAATATCGGTGATAATGCCTTAGTTCTTGTTAGTTTTGAATACTGTGATGCCTAACTATAACTGATCCGATCCGGGCCGGACGGCGCGGGTAGCTAGCGTCACTGTGGCCGTAGCAGCGCCGGTCAGACGCGCCGGCAGATATTTGTAAAGTGTGGGCGCCGGATCGTCTGCGGTTAAGTCCTTTCGATTTGAACACACAGCAGTACAGCTACCGTACTTTGAGTTAAACTTGCGCGGTTTTGGATATTTAAGTACTTTGTCTTATTATAATTTAGGGTTATTAATGAATTATTTCAACTTGACTGATGCTTTTATAGGTGTAGTTAAACATGATGCCGCTAAAACATCAGTAATAATATTTAGTTCTTCTAAATTTTCAATTTAGTGATGCCTAATATTTTGAGGTGAATTTAAACTATGTGAATTATTTGTGTACTGATAAAAAAACCAGTATATCAGTTAAAGTTAAGTTTTTCTAAGTTTTAATATAGTGATAACCTAACTATATCTATTTGCAAGCTGGAAAATTTCAATACTACATAAAACCTACTCAACTCTACGGATTAAAATTATAGAAACGAGAAGATAGAAGACTCTAGATTTGTCATTGTCATGCTCCACGACAGGCTAGATGCCTACAATGCAGTCTAACCAATAATATCGAAAGCATTCAAGTTTTAATAGGATGCACAGAAACATTTTTTTTCAGTTGGCAGCAATTCGATATGGTCCAATGTTGCCATTTGTCATTCGCTAAGTATTTTGACATTTACAGTGAGTAACTAAAGAGAAAATTGCATATCTATCTATGCTTTTCAGAAAAAGTATCTTAGTGGCGTTATAATAAATCAGTAGTGAATCACTAAATAGTTCGGCGATATCACTTCCATCGATCAAAAGCAGTTAGCAAATAGATCTACAGATCACCCTTCGAAATGGAGATACAGAAAAAGTTTGTTAAAGCGACACTTATTTCAGCAACGAAAAATGTTTTTCGTTTTTTTTCGCCTAGTTGAACGGACTTCGAAGAGTTAAAAAAAGTTTAGTGTACGTGTGAATTGAACGAGACGACCTTTGGCACGGATTTCAAAAGTATTTATGTGCTTTTTGGTGTCCCTCTGTTTATTTTTTTTGTTATACAACTGTTTGATAGTGCGGTTACTTTTCTTACTTTTTACGTTAACAAAAAAAAACTCCAGTTACTTTAAGATTGTTAGTTTGTAACTAAATACAAGTTTTCCTTGTTGAAAAAGATTTATGTATATAAAGTGAAACCTATTAAAATTGTTTGTCATCTTCTTAATTAGTATTAAAAATATTAGCTCATTTAAACATTAATTGGATTTCGCTAAGGTATTTGGAAACGCGGTTATGTAAAAAATAGCACTAACAAGATTACGTTAAAGGCTGATAATATAAAGCGCTTTTGAATCACTTAATTTCCATTTAATTATGCTTCAAACAAGGCTTAACTTTACTGCTTTAAACGGAACATAATACATAATGCGAGCAAGTAAAATCTTTATGTAGGTAACACATGTAGGGAACATTACAAACATTACTTCCGTATGTTCTACATATAGGATTTTATCCAATTCCGTTTGTGTTTTTTTTTATATAACAATGTTATTTCAGCATATTTTCACTTCAATTTAATCCCCTTATTAATAAACGAATAAGCTATAGACTAGTTACGCCGTGTTTTGTTCATATCACTCAAGTGACACATTTGTAATTCAACGAACAGAGATAAAACATTGAGTAACTAATTCCGGCTATTCTTCGTTTATTAATAATGGAGTTAATGTACAAAAATTATATAAGTACAAAGTAAATACAAAATTTGATAATTCTAATTTACCGATCTACTTTGGTTTCACTGTCATATATTTTAAGTCGTACGAATTTATTTACCTTTTTTGAGTACCTACGTAACATGAAACCTCATTGCGGATGAATTAAAACAGTAAGGACCATATCGCTTTCTTGCTCAACATAATAAGGGTGGAAGCTCGAGGGGTAAAGACGGTTGGAGAGAAAGAGAGGGCAGGAAAGGTAATAGAGAGTTACCTCAAACTGCGGCCACGCCATAGCCATGTTGCAGCCGTGGTTGTTGGCCCACCATTTTAGGTCCTTCTGGTGGTCCGCGTTGTTTATCGTGTGGTGGAACTCTTCGTATATCTGTGGTAATCTGTAAATCATATGAACGTATATCTCAAACGATACCACAAAAATATCTGATATTACTATGGTTTTCTTGGCAATTATATGATTTTTATGGCATAATGGACATGAGCGACATTATTTTCCTCAACATTTGATGTTGACTTAAACCTGGTCAGTCAGAAGTGATGAAGCCAGCCTCATTGTAACTAAACATAAATCTATTTACTAAAGGAATATATCACTGCTAGCGATAAGGCCGCCCATTATTACAGTACATTTATTACATGGCTTTGTATTAAATGTAATGGTGGTTTCGAATAAAGTGTTTTCTATTGTATTTAAAATTACACAACAGTGAAATTAGGCTTCGGTAGATGGCGTGCGCGGCTTAATCCGTGGGGAAAATGCACTTTAGCCTGACTCTAATGAAATCATTGACCAACGAGGACTCTTGGCTGATGTTGAGGCACTTGTGGAAGCTGAAAAGCACGTCCTATAAGATGGTGAGCCGCTGCGCCTCCATCTGCTGGCAGCGCTTGAAGACTGCTGTCGTGTCCTCGATGTAGCGGGGGTTGTACGAGCTATGACTCCATCGTATAAACGGATATTGGGTAAACTCACGAGCTCTTATATGATGTTGAGGCACTTGTGGAAGCTGAACAGCACGTCCTTGAAGAAGGTGAGCCGCTGCGCCTCCATCTGCTGGCAGCGCTAAAAGACTGACATCATATCCTTTATGTAGCGGGGGTTGTACGAGCTGTGTCTCCATCGGAATCAATGGATATTGAGTCAACTCACGAGGGCTCTTGGCTGATGTTGAGGCACTTGTGGAAGCTGAACAGTACGTCCTTGAAGAAGGTAAGCCGCTGCGCTTCCATCTGTTGGCAGCGCTCGAAAACTGCTGTCATATCCTCTATATAGCGGGGGTTGTACGAGCTGATCTCAGCCAACGCCGCTTGGTACTTCTCCCTGTTCTTCGCGACCTCCTCCCGACATTTGGCCACTCGTTCCGCCATCTTTTTCACCTGTCAACAAATACAGTGTTTGATTAACAAATGATTGATTCGATCTTCAAGGTTCATATACAACATGTTTTGGTTAGGGGTAAATTGATTTTAAGATAACAGTTTATTATTGAGAATTTCACGAGATACTTTTTAAATGGGTTTTAAAGCAAGTTTATTTATATTTTAATGAAGCTTAGGATTTTGTGCGTTGACAAAAGAAAATACTATAATATATACCATCTAAGTATTTGGTATAAACATTCTATTTATCATAATGCTTTTAAATATTAGTAAAAAAGTAATCTTGTAGTTTAAGGGAAGTAGGTATTCAAGAAAGTATGTTTTTAAAATATATACTCATAGCTTCTATTATCAATCTTACAGAATCATAATAAATCACAAACCCAGCTTTCTCATGTAATGCCTGTTGGGCCTTATTAGTTAAGTAAGGTTGTCCCATCTATCATATGGGTGAGGTTATTAATTTCAATCAAGGACACCGCTTTTCCAGAAACAGAGCTTTACATCTACGAGAGGGTGCGAAGATACTTTTAAAAATATATTACGAGATTAGCTCACCGCCAACACAAAATAGTGGTCCTCGCCGCGTTTGACCGAAAACATTTTATCGACCAATTGAGATTGGTTAGTTAATTTCATAGTAAAGATTTGATCTAACATAATCAGTATTAAAACGCATGCCACAATTTCAATTTATGTAAATTTGTCAGGTTTATCAATTCAGTTAGTAAGAATTACCTACCTACTGTTATACTCGATCAAAATACTATAGCGGTAAAATTATTTATTACTTTAGATAGACACAAGTTGGTAGTCTAAAAGAGCTTATAGATACGTACAAACTGAGTACTTAAAAATACTGAAGTCTGAAAAAAAAAACACTACAATCTTTACGGAAGATGGAGTTATGGGAATAGCTGTGTAAACGATAAACAAGATTTCTGTTAACATTGTTATTTAGACGTACTTACTACGTACTACATATCACCAACATGGAGTCGAGGAAATACAAAAAGATAAAATAAAGGGTAAAACAAAGTAGTTGTGCACAATAGATGCAAGCCACAAAACTCTCTTACCAGCAGCGTCCTCTGAGTGCGTTGGAAACAAAACAAAACAATTAAAAAGAAACAGACAAACAAAAATTATGAATAGGGAAAATTACCTAGAGTTCGGCTTTTGTTTAATTTTTGTTTACGACGCAACATTTCGTACGTATTTTTGTTTACATTTTGAAGTCATAAGTTCTTAAGCACTGTGATGTAAGTGGGTCGTATTAAAATTATCGGTTACGATTATGGCATAATACAGAACTATTTGTATGTGTTGTTTGTATGTGCAATATGTAAGTATACTTTCTATATATTAGGGTTGTGTACGTTAGATTAGACCCAGACTCCAAGTGTGGAGCACCGTATATCACAGGCAGGCCTTGCTTAAACTTCTCTAGGGTTGTCAATGACAACTTACATTGTAATAGTTATTGAAGTGAAGTGTCAGGATCAACCATAATGTTACTCAGAATCTATTACGTAAGGTGTTTGACAACGTTTACTGAAAAATCAACTTGTATTTTGGAACTTTGGTGGTTTTAATTAAAGTTAATTATTAGATTTATCAAAAAAACTACATCAATAAATTAACATAAAAGGCAAACAAACTAAATAAGACAAAAAAGTTGTTCGTTAATAATGTTGTAAAATTTATTTGTAGCTCAAAAGGTGTTTCTTTATAAATGTTATTCTTCCAATACACTTTCAAAACTTCACTACATGTCAACCCAACTAAACTAACAGCCTTACAAATCCAGTTTCACGGATGGACAATGCATTTCAGTGCTCTCCTCGGACCTTCCGACGGTGTCCCAGCGGAAGCGGTTGCTAACAATAGAAGCATCTTTCTGGCAGGCAAACATATAATATATGAACGTCTCAGAAATGTGAACTTACTGTATTCGGGGATATGGACATTATTCGGGACGCACAGGAAGTGCGTAAGATTTTTGTGCCATCGATAACGGAGTAGAAGAGTGACTATTAAGTAATCTGTGGTAGAAGGTATAGGTAAACTATAGACAACCAAACACTGTTTTCAAATAATTTGTTATACGAACGTGCCCGATAAATACATATTTTAGAAGATAGCTAGTTAAATTCCTTGCGTCGTTTGGCTTGACAGCATGATTCAAGCGGTCACAAAAATAGAAATATGAACTTTTTAAAAGAGACTTTTTGCTTCCAAGTTGTTCAAAGAAGAACATTTGACATTTCTATTACATCTGTAATAGAAATGTCAAATGTTCTTACCATACAAATAGTATCTACTTACCATACAAATAAGGCTAGTATTTTTTTACATATCGACATCATACAAGTCGACAATATTCTGAAATTACTCTTTGTAGTAGTTTAACTGTGTCCAGTTCGCTGTGGCCTAGTAATGAAATAAGTGGACCTTAATGAACATTGTCATTTGAAGTGTCAAGAGTAATAATGACACGTAAAATCAGAAGTTGTAAACCAGATGCCAAAGCGAATTTTGACATCTCCGTCATCATATCGTTGTCGTCAGAGTATGGAAAAAGCTAGTTTTATAATGCGTCCGATACCGGCGCTGCTCAGTTATCATAGAAACTGTAATGATACGATACAATTACGAGCTGTCAAAATTCGCGCTTGAGCCTCAGATCTTATTCTGTTTGACATTAAGCTTTCGTGTTTGTCTGCGGTTAATTGTTATGAGAAAGAGAAATCCTAATAAAGGTTGGAAAACCGATATTTATACAGAAATACGGTAGACAACAAAATCCCGAGTGTCTGTCATGTGACCGCCGCGACGAAGTGACGTACAATTTCCTGTCGCGTGTCGTCGTCACGTCGTCTCTACATTTCTAGGTCAATGTAAACTCGAACCAAAGCGGCGAATGATATTATTTTGTTTTCTTATTTCCAATAAGTAAACAGGCTTTCCCCGTCTTTCATTTACGTATTTGCTGATCCGATCCTCACTATTTGCTTGTCGGGCGGCTGTACCGTGATACCTATGAGTGATATGTGTTTGAGCTAGAAGCGAAAAAAAATAGCTCTTTATTTCTTCAAGACAGTAAACAAGCTTATTTGAGTGAGTCAGTAAAAATGGTAGGACATCTTTTGAAATGTTGTTTTGATTCAGCTCGCCTTTTCGTTTCTACATATATACCTATTCAATTTGCAACAATCCTTTCTTAACGTTTATTTTGTAAATGAAGTATATTAGATGGTTTAAGCTAAAATTGTCCGCCCAAATCTATCTTCCATCTTCTTGTTTCAAAAGAGGCGTGAAGAATAATTTGTGTTGTGCAGGCCGGTCGGTGATGAGAAAATGGATGCCATGCAGCCAAGGTGTGGCATGTAAAACTGCTTGAAATTAATTTGACCCTATAGTTCTAAAGAAAATATCTTAGGTAGAAAAAGTTAATAATTTTCATGTTTGGTTGTGGGCAATTTTTGGTGGATTTCCGATTTGCCCCGAATGCTTAAGGTACTTAACTTGGGATTAGAGAAGCTAATGTATAACGAAAATACTAAACTGAACTGAAACCCTGCACTGTGATGAAAACTCGAGTAGAAAACAAATTTTTATTTTACGATTTTAAAACTTCGCCTACAAGCAAAAATACAGTGTGTATCGCAAATTTGTGACGTCATATTGTTTACCGATTCGGTGAGTACATAAAAACAATTCTTGTTTATACGTAAACTTTTTCACACTCAATCTATGAAAATCTGCCATGGGAATTTTTTTCTTTGGCAGGTAACATTTCCGATTCAATAGCTACAGTAACATATTATTTTGCATGTTAACCTTTTGTTGGCAGAAATTATTATTTTAACAAAATTATTTATGGCTTATAATAATTATTGTATTAAATGCATTTTTACCGTCTTCCAAAAAGAGGAGGTTCTCAATTCTATATTATGTTTTTTTATTGTTGTTCGCGCATATCTCCCAAAGTTTGTGGACCGATTTTGATGAATTTTTCGTTTGTTTGGAGAAGTTTGTTAGCGAGATGGTTCCATATTAATGTGATAACGATCTGATAAATATTTTCGGAGATAGACAACAGAACTCCTCAAATACGAACAGTACAAATACACTTATCGTGTTTGGTTATTTTACAAAATATGGATGAGGGATTACAGGCTAGTTATTTAGTATGTTTATGTTTCTCTGGCTTATAACAAGTAAAAAAAAACAATTTTAAACAAAAATAAAACCGACTTCATAAAAACAAAACCACTTTTAAAGTAAGAAATAATGCACATTCATTACTATATCTACATTTAAAGTCAAATTACCATTTGGAGTCGGTGCCATGTATATTGATGGATATGTCGCCATTTCCTGCTTGTTTTTGTTTTTATAAAGTCAGTATTTTTCTTTTGCATTAAAGCCGCCATTTTAATAATGTTAGGACTATATAAAGTGTGTTGCAAAATAAAGACTTGCCCTAAAGGTCTCTGTTATCAGAGCCCATTATTATTAGCCCAGAGAACATTATTTATTCTTAAAATATAATAATATAACCATTAGGTTATAAATAGTTTTATTCTATTAGGTTTTAGCGAAGTTACAGTGAACTTACTATTACAATATATTTATTGTTTTAGATGCCTCCGACTCAGGCAGAAAAATCAAAGAGATACAGGGAAAAACTAATTCCTAAATCTACAAAATAAAAAACAAAAGCTTGTCGTCATTGAGAATAAGCATTTTTATTAACATTTATTTTGTGTTACTGTTACATCTATACGATTAAATTGCTAACTCGAACCTCTTTTTCCACGCAGACGAAGTCGCATTATATGAAATAAGTTTAGACTTTAGTTGTAGGTAACGTTGCCATTCATCCGTATAAAGCCGGACAGTGTAAGGCTCTTTGATCTCTTGTCCGGGCCAATTTGACTGCGTCCGGCCATTCCGGCTTTTATTAGGCTTTTTGTCTTTTGACGCAAAGA